TTTGGTGGTCGTATGAAGATTAAAATATTTTAACACTAGAACCATTGAATGTAATCAAATTAAATTGTATTATATAATAATATACATAATGTACAGGGTGTTTCATGTAAGTGTCGCCACGAAATGTCAGGATTTTTCCTTGAATTTAAAAAAAATGTAATTCACACTAGACTAACTACACAATTCAAAAGACTTATCAGTACTATATGCAAAATAACATTTTGCAAAGTTAGTTGTAAAGGCAGATGTGAAGATTGAATTTTCTTTCATTTTTTTAGGATTTTATTATGACAAGAATAAGACGGAAAATGTATCAGATCTGATGTTAGTTTTATCATTTATCATATTTCACATAATCGTATATGCTATAAATGTATGTAATCTGCAGTCTTTTGCAACTTTTATTACGATATGAAAGTGAAGAAATTAATTAATTTATAAATTTGTAAATTTTCAAAAGCTTGTCATGTTTATCGACAGATTGAAATAGATATTCGTTTATGATCGGTAGTTTTAGTGTTAAACTAACTAACATAATGTTTTGTAAAGTTAAAGGAAAGTCCTGAAATCTCGTGGCGACATTTACGTGGGATACTCTGTATAGTCCTACAATTTAAGATCATATACAGTAAATCCTCGATGAGTGCTCGAAGGCTCCTCCACACTGACAAAGAGAGGTCCCCAAGTGTAAGGCGGACTTTTTAATGAGATTTAGCACAGTACCTTGCAATTCTGAAGCTAATGATATTTGTTGCAGCCGTATGTGGCCATTAGTTTATGAAATATTTAATGTTCAATGTCGAGTAGCTTTCGAACATTCATCACGGATTTATTGTAGTATAACATGAAATGTATAAATAAATTAAAAGCCAACATAAAATCTTGTAAAAATAGTATTATAATTTCAGTAATCGTAAAATAACAGATCTGTAATCTCTCATTTGACGACTTTGGTAGTTCTAGTTTTAAGTTTAATTATTTGAAAAACAACTTCTTGATTCTACGAAAAAGGTTTTTTATACAGCTGGATAACTAGAATTCTTATATGACAAGTGGTCTAGATTCAAAGCATTCTCAACTATCGTTAAACTACTTACTGCAAAATGAAAAATATTAACAATAATATGTTTTTTTCCTTCGTTTTTGTCACCTACTAAGAAAAAACAGAAGATATTGATTTTTCAACGTTGACATTGAAAAATTGCAAGAACAAAATTATAATAGGTACTTCACATGCCAACTAATCAGCTAAGTTCAGCAGCAAATTACAGAATGGACAATGAAAAAAAATGATTAAATTTTTATAAATCTGAAAACTATTAGCAAACTAGTCTTGAAAATAACATTCTAATACTGTTTTATAATGTCCTGTAGAAATAAAATAATTCCAAGCGTATATGTTTTGAAAAAAGAAACAAAAAATCTTTCGAAAAGTTGAATACCTTTGATAATAATAAGGTATATTGACTAGAATAAAAAAGGAATGTGTATTAATTTAATTTAAATTTGAAAAGATTAGAGAGCAATTATGTCCTAATTCCTAAATAAGAAGTATAATATCTACTGTCACTTTCTTTTAATATAATTACAATATTTTCCAATAAACACTATTTCAATGAGATACGTGATATATGTAAATTGAAAAAAGTCACAAGTAAGCAATTTTCATTTTCATGTCCCGTATCATTTATTACTAGAATGCGGAATTCTTTTATTGTATTTCACGAAGCATCTTATAGGCTACAAATGCATAAAATCCGCAGTCTATTTATCACCTTTCACAGGATAACTGCATACTTAATGACAAAATTATCTATTGTCCTATATCACACATTTATTCGCGTGTACTATTTTCTCGCTGAATGAACACTTTCATTCGCATACGAATGTATACAGTACGTTAAAAGTGTTCAGCGGGAATGTGGTAAAATCTTTGAGTGACTTCAGTCTACCGATATTAATGGTACAGTTCATCGCGTAGCAAAGTTTCAAACACGATATCCATGAATGTTCATGTGAAATGAATCACGTGAAATGGAACGTGGTACGTAGGTACTTCCACACAGAAGACTTAGAAATTTGCGTTTGACGGTATATACATGGTATACGTTGAAGCAGTCAGCACAGATAATGGACATTTTTATGTTAATATCTAGTTAAAAAAATCCATGGAACTGCTATGTACATATAGACAATCTTTTGTTTTGTTACATTTTCGATCATTAAACTTCGGGAAACCGGGTGTAAAAAAACATTTAACATTTAAACATGTAGATGAAATAAATTGAAAAAGTTAGTTTCATCTGAACTGTGTTACGAATTTCAAAGCAACATAGGCGAATGAATATAAAAGCTAACTTTTGTGTAAATATGTTAAAAGTAATTAATATTTTATTCATTTATTAGTCAATTACAGTACAATATCTAAACTACAAATTTGCAATTATGATATGTGATGATATTATGTATAAAAATCAATTAAATCAATATTAAAGTATTGCGTGTAGGTAGGTATTTGAGCGAGCGATTAAAAATTACAACGAATCAAACTGAATTAAGATATTGGTAGGTAATAAGTAAACTGTCGACGACATAGAGTTGAGTTTTATCAGTTGCACGTATCGTAATGTTCGTGAAAGTTTGTTACGAGTTTATATTGCATTTGCAAATAATTTTATTGTATTTATGGTTCATAATATGTAAAAACATCGACAATTTTATTATTTCAAATAATATTGCAAATAACATAAAAATTTACACAATCTGCGTGTTGTGATTGCTACATAGCACGAGCTTTAGGCCAAAATTAAATATCTGGCATCTGATTTTAAATTCTCTTTGATCCGTAATTTTTCTCTGAACGAACACTTTAAATTTTTGTTAGTGGAATATTTTTAATTCGTGTAATTGTAACTTTTCCAAAACACTTAGGAAATCATTCGCATTACTAACATTTACAAATGGCTTCCAGCTCATACAGGATTGATTTTTCGATCCATGTTCATTAACAATTTTTTACACAGCTGAATGAGTATTATTTACAATAAAAATGTATGTATATCAAATTATATTATCAACTTAAAAAATATAATTTATTACTGTACGAAATATGATATTCGATAATCTAATAAATTGCTACATTAAAAATTGAATGAAATTGATTGTCTAACATTTGAATAATTAAAAATGTTTTAAATTTTTATGAACGTTATGAGTCATTTTACATTCGTATTGCAACAATTTTGCACATTTTTTTAGTAAGAATATCGGATGAGTAAAAAGTGGTACTACATAGTAGGAAACAAAACCTGGAACATTGTAAAAAAGTAATTTATTTTCATCGGAAGAACACTAATTAGGAAAACATTGGTGGAAAGAGAGACATCCTGAACATATTATTAAGGAAACCGCATTTTCAGTTGATCTTGAATAGAATTTCAGTAAACATTACGTTCGTTTATGTAATTAATGTTTTTATAAAGGAAATAAACTAATTTCTCGTAACCAATGAAAGGTTTTATCTTAATTTCGTACCGACACCATTTTTGCAGTTATTTTACCTTTCTAAATATTTCTACTGATCAAACATTTAGAAAATTTGTATATTACCAAATTACATTAATTCATTTTACGTTATTGAGAAAATAGTATTATAATCCTATATCCATTATTATAAGTCTTCAAAGAAATTCTTTTAGGGATAATGTTGTACATCGTAAAACTAATATTTAAGCTTGTGTATCTCCAAACACGCCAACAAATGAAAATTCAACACACTCATTGAAAAAAGAAATAAATACGGTTGCGATCTCTGCATTACTACAGGTAAATGCCAATTCAGTTCAAAATACGGTACACCTGTTTTAAAATTACAATTGAATTCTTTAAATACCAGTGACTATTCCGTATACGAAGTGACGCAAGGTCTTAATAAAAAAAGGAACAAGTCAATACCAAAAGAACTATTAATTACAAAAGTATGTTCATTAAATTTTTTCAATCCTTAGTATAAGTTTCATTTACTTAAGTTTATTTCTGTCGTTCTACAACACCCTGTACTGTTCTCCTTAGTTAAAAATATTCCAAACTGACAAATTATCGTTTCTCAAGATTTTTCGAAATATTTGGAGCTCCACATGTTTTTACATAAACTTTAATTAAATTATATAATATACTTTTTAAATACAGTTAGATTGTCCTGTGTGTTTAGTTCTAGAGACAATCTAATTTATTTGTCCTAACTGTTTTCCAGATAATTGTAATACTACTTTATATTGTCCTAGATAAAATCCATTACTAACTTACATAGCACTAAATTCTCACTTGAACTAACAATAAGTAAAAATATTTAAATTGTCCATGCTTCAATTATCTATGTTTTACTCTCGTGTAAATAAAAAGTGATTTAAAAATGAAAAACCGTTTCGTAGATTAAACTATTCCATCTCATTTTATTTAAAATGTTAAAATCTGAAGCATTCAATTAATTGCTAAAAAATTATCTAGGCTATTACGAGATAATACCTCAAATGTTTCAATTTCATAACGAAAAAAAAGGACGGTGTAAAAGAAAATTATAAAACATAATTTTTCTCGGATGTTTTTTTCCCCTAATTCTTGTACGTCCCATCTACTTCGGAAGATTATTATTAGCGACGACAATGTTCAATTATGTCACACTTGTAAGTAATTCTATTTCTTTGAGTTATTGAATCAGTAGACGTATTTTTTTATGGTTGGAGAAGTTCTCTTTTAAATTATAGTTTATGTTTGAAAATATTAATTAGCACAATTATTAACCTGAAGAGGGCAACGTACCTGATATAGTACATGAAAATACGCCAATCAATCGATGCTCTCAATATCAAACACGAATTTTTGGAAATTTGAAAAACCACGTGCACGCGCCGATCGTTCATTTCCCGACTCGAAATTCTCCGTGAGGAATCTATGAAACGTTCACGCATCGAATGAATTGAGGATAACAGTCTTGTACTTACATATGCAACACACGCCAAAGCCGAGCGCGCACGGTCCATGGGATTTTCCTCGTTGAATACGGCATTCATACGTGTTCATGCATAGTCCTCGTCGCCGTTTGTCCTGGGACAGACACTCCACTTCCACGGGGGTTGGAAAGAAATTCAGAACTGCAAACGATCGGAAATAAAAACTCGATGATAACTATGTTCCGTCCAACGAGACGAGTCAGTAAAAATAACCAAAACATTCGCTATTGTCCTACCTAAATGCTCAACACCTTTTGTTTACAATTACTGACTCGACTCACTGGATGAAGTATATACTGCAAATGTTATACATTTATAATATTTCTAATTGTCTGAAACTCAGTATAACAAAATGTTTAATTAAATTCAATCAGGTTTTTATTTTACTTGAAATCCGATAGAACTCTTAGCAGAGCAAACCATTTTTATTTCAGTTCAAGTTTTTACAAACTGGTCTACAAAAATTTATATTTACACAAACGTCCACAGTCTAATGATAGCCGAATGAGGCAACTACGTCGAAATACGTTATACTTGTGTTTCATCTTCAACTCCAAAAAGAATCATTCGAAAGTAGTCATTATACATATATCGCAATACTAATCGTCGCAATTTGACTTGTGCAGTACTGTTCGCTTGAATAGCCTCAGATAAAGATATTGTACGAGGTCTGTCAGAAAAGTAACGGGACTGATAGCGTAGAAATTTGTATTGTCGACTTATCTACAAATCAACATTATCCCCTTCAAAACAGTTTGATTAAGAAGCCACAAGCTGCTGAAGAGGTTGTTTCCATTTCTTGAAACAGTACTCGAAATTTTTAATCGGAACTACTTTCAGATTCTCGGTCACAACCGATTGGATGTTGTCCAGAGTTCCAAAATGAGGACATCGAAGTGGGTTTATTATTTTTGGGAAAAGAAAATGGTCATACTGAGTCATTGTCAGATCAGCGGAGTACGGATGCTCTGGTAGGGCAGGTGTACCATTTTTGGACAAAGACTCGTTTACAGAGAATTTTCTTGGTTGTATCATGACAACGCTCACTGTCACAATGTAAAAGATTTGTTTGCCAATAAGGATATTTCTGAGGTACCACAGCCCCCGTATTCCCCTGATCTGAGTCCACGTAACTTCTTCCTATTCCCAAAAATCAAAACCCATCTCAAGCGTCGTCAACTTCGAACTATGAAAAACATTTAATAGGTTGTGACAGACCAACTGAAAGCAGTCCCAGTTGAAAAATTCCAGCACTGTTTCAAAAAGTGGAAAGAACGTCAACAGCGATTTGTAGTTTCCCAAAGTTTCCCAACTAACTTGAAGGTGATAATGTTTATTTGTATGTAACTTAACAATACAAATTTCCACGCTATCAGTCCCGTTTCTTTTCTGATAACCTGCTTAGATTCGTTACAGAGGATCAATGAATGTCCATTAATGTTTCAACTGAACAGATAAATTATATTACATATTAAACGCGTGCTCACTCTTCTACGACTCGCACTATTCTGTTGTTTTTTTCTCTTGTTTTGTTACCCCCAGATATATTCAATCCAATCATCAATTCACATTTCGCTCACCCAACATACGCATCAGAATAATAAAATTTAATGCAAAATTGATATATGTAGTGGTATATTTGCCACAATATGTTAGTCTGAACCTGCACATGAATTGGACAGGCTAGCGATATATTGGGTTCTTGCACATGAAATGATCGTTTTATTACAGGCACTTGATATTACAGGATTGAACATTATACGAATTTTATTAGCGAAAGTAAGATTAAATAGACTCTATACACATATTTCTCATTGAAGTGCAAGTGTTACATTCATGTTATGTTTATTACATAATTATTATACCGAATTTGAAGATGACTCTTCAAAGACGTTTTTTAGCTGCCATATTTCCGCCGAATGTTGCCATTGCTAAACAGTATTTTTCAGCAGAAATAGAATAGGTGAATCTTTATAAAGTTTATTTATTAATTTAGCTTAATTGTCGAATTTATTGTTATGTTAGATAGCACCTTGAAATGCGAAGAATATATGTACTGTGTTATTTTATAAACAAGAAAAGAACTATGTTAATAATTATCATTCATAAATAGTAACTTCAAGTATACTTATCATTAAACGACCATTTCATGTGCAACGATCTAATAAATAGTATAATTTTGTCAGATGACAAAAAGTTCATATTATTGTAACGATCTGTGAAAAGAACGAATTCTTCCTCGTCGTTACTCATCTATTCGTTCTGTTATTAATATGAGATTCTAGTTTTTACTTTAGACGAGCAGATTTAGCAATCATGATGGAGAAATTAAATTCAAGAAAATATTTAAATATTCCTGAGATCATGTTTAGAAAGATCGAACACGGGACACTGAATTTTGAAACTTGCGAAAAGTAAAAACGAACATATCAAATATTAACCCATAATTAAAATACATACATCAAATCCTCTGTAATATTTGTATACTTTCCGATATCATCGTATTAATATTGCAACATAAACCGATAACCCTACACAAAGTAAATGTTCAAAGTATGGTGACATCGTTTAATTCAATAATTTTATATAACATTCTATTTTCTATTCTTATACATTGTATAACGAAGAATTCACTTCAGTTTTGTGGCTAGAACATAGGAAAATCCCCTGGTATTCAACGTGTTAATTAATAACAACTTCAACTGATTATTACAATATAGTTATCAATCGTTTGTTTTGATGAAGCTATTCGTGCAATATGTGCTCCAAAAAAATTTTTCTATGTTTTACTTATCAATTTTAAAAAATGTTTATTTTCAATAAAATATGTAATAAATACAATATACATAAAGAACATAGAAGCTTTTCCCTTTGGTATTACCACATGATCTATTAAAAATACAAATGAATCCATTCAAGCAAACAGTACTATATGTATAAATATTTCAAACAGTGATTCTATTAGAACATTCCATGTGTTCTACGATTTTTCTCACAGCTGAATGTATTAGGTTGTATCAATAAATAACCCACTATTTCTGAACGAAATAAAAAATCGCTTCTCTAAAAAATTAACTAATAATAATTTTCTAGCATTCTACATCATTTTTACTCAGTAAGAGGTCGCGAAGATATTTATCATTTAAAATATGTCGCTTTATTGTTAAAAAAAGTGGTAAATTACTTATTGGTATGTACATCGAATATATATTTATAATTCTACATGATCGTCGTTTATCTGTTTTATGTATTTTATCGTCCATGAATATTTAAATACTTGCGTCTCGAAAAGAGTTTAAAGTATATACCATATGAACCAATTCATCGCAGCTATGACTATCGTCTAATATTACACTTAATGTTGAATGATGAAAATAACATTTAACATCGAGTGATACAAATAAAACAGCAATAACTGAAGTTGGATGAAAATTGATACTCCGGAGATGCTCGAGAAGAATGACTTCAAGCATTTCTACGTCATATCTGCTTGTAGTTTCAGTCGTAGGACAATTGAAATATTATTTTCCAATACTTTTGCGGTACTTGAATGTATATACAGGATGGACCACTTAAATCAGATCACCTAAATATCTCCAGTACTTGTAGTTGTATGAATAAAATTCTCAGGACAAAGTTACACTATTTGAATTAATACATGTAATTAATTCTTAAGACATTTACAGGTCGCTGACATTCTTTTTAAATGGAAACCTATATTTTTGTTCCATATCCTTATAGAGCATAAAGAAATAAATTCAACGACCTAAACAACCACATCGTTCCGAATATTTTATCGCGAGATAATCATCTCAAAGTAATTAAAATTTCCTACGAATCCATATAACACAGCGATTTATATATTCTTATCCAAACGTAAACAAAACTGTTATTGTAATCCCTTTAGATGAAAATATCTCGAGATTAAATAACCGGAATGGTACGATTATTAAGGTCGTTGAATTTGTTTTTTATGTTCTGTAAGAATATAGAAAAAATAAAACAGGTTTCCATTTAAAAAATACCAGCGATCTTGACTGTCCTAAAAAATTACCTTGAAAAACCTTAGAAGTTTTTTCATACGGCGACAAATAACGTTGGTATTTAAGTGATCTCATTCAAGTGGTTGACCGTATACATATATTTCGTGGAGTATTTATCCTTAAATATTAATGAAAAGTATGAAGCTAAAACGATATAACAAATTTGTTTAGCAGTGCATCTGATTGAAAAGAAAATAGTAAACATAACAAAAACGTGTTAGTATTATAACGTTAACTACAGAGTGACGAATTGTAGCCAAAATAAATGATCCAAAATGTACGGTGCAGTATGCGATTACCAAATTCAGGAAAACGAATGACTGTAACAATCATCAGGAATCATTGCAAATACCAGAAGGAAGCAATACTTACAGAATAATGTAATACTATTATAATGTTAAATTTTTGTTTATTTCCAACGTTAGTTCTGCCACTTTAGAAATAAAAAAAATTAGACATTATAATAGTGTTAGAATATTTTGTATGTGATACGTTTATCTGGTTATGTTTTCCAAATATTTGATGATGCTAGGAATTATTAATGTTGGTTCTGTCACTTCAATAATTCAGAACATCATCAAATACCCAATATCAGGTTGGAAATTTATACACTGGTCTTCTGCAGCTGGGTCCGTACAGATCCATGCATAGCTGAACGAGGGTTAAAGATCTTGAACGTTTTCGTATCTTTAGTTGCTAGAAATAGAAGCGAGCCACGCAAGTATAATTTTAATTTAGCTGTTAGAGTCCGTAAAGTTTCAATATGAATGGGATGTGTTTATCGACGACGGTCTTGTAATTCATGAATATTATAATTAACTTTACACGGATCTTCTGCTCCACATGGACTGCGCCGCTTAACACTCCAATGTGGTGAAATCGTATTCTATTCAGATTAATAAGCATGGGTAATGAATAAGCAATTAAAGGAATAATTGATTGGTGAATTTTCAATGCTCCCAACAAAAGGCTTATTAAAGTGTCATCGAACAACTCGAAGAAAAAAATCAAAAACTGATTTAAGTGTAATAATAATAAAATCTATTATGTTTACAATTTTAATATCAATACAAAAGAATCTAATAGATGGACAGTTGTAAAGTTAATGTAACGGATGAACAGTCGTCAAGGGAAACGAAAGTGGACACTCAAAATAAGAATTATTAAAAAATCATTTACATTCCTCTTGATGAATATTCATAATTACACTACGAGTCCTTATGCGTTTACTGTAAAAGTGAATTCGGATAATATACAGCTAACTTTGAACTTGGTAACCTTAAAATAATTGTTAAACTAACGATAAGTATAGATATTTATTTTTGTACCTACGGCTATGGTCAAACTTTGCCTAAGATCTTTTTTCTCAATAAATACAATAGAATAAAATCCTTAAAAACGTTAATTAACATACGGTTAATCTCTACTTGTAGTCTATTTATAACGAAACAGGCATTTCAAGCTAGAACACGCGGTCAGTTAAATTCCAAAGTAAGAATAATTGTGACAAAGAAGTGTGAAGAAATGAGAACAGAAATACGTGAAATGAATAACTGATGCTAGCCGCGAGACTGAAAACAGCAAAAATTCTAAACTAAACAGTGACCGTTCCCGCGTTACGGTTCTCCAGAAAGGTCGTAGTACAAAAGAACACGAAACGGCACTCCGGCGAGTTGTCCTTTGAACTTACCCCTCGAGATAGGATTTTTGTTAAAATTGTTGGAGGGTCTTTCCACGGTCTGACTCGGCCAAAGATTCAAACCCAACAGCGACCATTGATGTGTGCTCACCGGGAAGATGATCAGAGCGCAAACATGGTTCGACATCCACGATAAAACACTCCACCGCACTTCCGTCGAATACGCGATGCTCGTCAGTGCAACGAATTGCACGAGGATGATTGGAAGATGCCTCAGGATCATGATCGACTCGGAGGAACGCGCATCCGCGTGATTCTCACGAATCTTTGAAGCACACCAGCGAAAGACGATGACCGACTGACTGACCGTGAAACACTACACAGTCGGGCCCAGCACATGTTGGGCCCCTACTGCTACGGTTACTTCCACCGGGTATTACCGCTACCGCTGGTGATTTGATTGCAAACGTCTTCTTACCAACATCCAGACCATACCACTCACGGGCATAGTCAGTGAGCAGATTACGAGTGATCCCAGTCTTGGTTACGGGAACAGTAATTAACGAAGAATTTCGACTTCGGAACGTTCATTAAACGGAACGTTTGACTGCTGGTACGTTCATTAACAAAACGTTTAGATTTTGGAACGTTCGGGAACGAAAACTTTGAATATCAGAACGTTTCTTAACAACAGGTTTGGATTTAGGAACGTTTATTAAACGAAGCGTTTAGCTATCGGTACGTTCATTAACGAAACGTTTCGATTTTGGAACGTTCATTAAAAGAAACGTTTCGATCTCGAACTGTTCAGTAACGAAGAGTTTGACTATCAAAACGTTTATTAACAAAGAATTCGGATATAGGGACGTTCATTAAACAAAACGTTTCGATATCGGAACGTCTAGTAACAATAAGTTTTGATATCAGAACGTTTATTAACCCGTAAATAATCATAGACGTGCGGTCTGTGAGACGTTCACGAAGTGCAAAATCATTTACCCTACTCTGTAATTATGTAATACTTAGTACGCCTTTACGCAACAATGTACCCTTTGTTAGTGAGTAGAATTTGGAGTAGCTAGATTTTTATTCTTTCTAAAAAATGTGTCGTGGTCTGTGAGACGTCAAATCTGTATTAACATAATAATTATTAGATTAACGAAATAATTTTATTATTGCGTATTCTACAACATAACTGTGAGTAACGAGTGCAATGCGGGCCCATCGAAAAGAGTAAGGCTTGACGACGAGGATTATGAAGAGGCATTGTAATTTTGACGATAAAAATCGTATCAAACAATTACGACATCCTGTACGTACCAGAGCGTACTTTAGACTTTAGAGCATAATATTGTTGTACAATCCCCTGAACTGAAGAATGCTGCAAGATGTGTGTCTTCACACCCTGAAGCGGTCTGGAATCTCCTTTTTGATGATACAATCATGGAAATTATTTTGTGTATCGGGATTGTGCAGTGTAAAACCAGAGCAGCAGAAACACTTGCAATGTTTTAGAAAATTCTAATACTATTTTACGTTATTACATTGTTGTGTTTAGAACATTTATACTTTCTACCAAACCTAATAAAATATGCATTCTTGTGTAATTTGATTATTATCAGAAATTTTGAAAAAATTCCACACGTTTTCAGTAAATCTGAAGATTGTTCAAGATTTATGAATATCTGTATAGACATAATTGGTTCTAATTTAAAGTAACTCGCTATAAGAACACCTTGACTTCAGAGCCAGAGTGTATTAAGTCCACTTTTTTACAAAAATGTCATTTTACATGTTTCCCGTATCAAATTTTATTGATATATAGTGTAGTTTTTAATATAATAGTTTAAAAGTATTCCATATTCTGTTCCGAGCGAACAGTGGAAAATCCATCACATAGAGGACTTAATGCAATATTTACCATTTTTAGATATCGAGACTTGTCTAAAGTTCATTCAGTATTTCGAAGGTAGCAATTGTTTCCAGTTGAATTCTTACCGAATGGTTCCAAAGTTACAAAGTCTTTGCACCTTTGATTTGTTCTCCCCTAAAGTTTGGAAAGTGTGACTTCATACACTCTGGCTCTGTAAAAAGTCTTTATAGGGTGTTATTTAACACACTAACACAGCGGTCTTCGAGTTCGAGACTGCATGTCTGTACTGAAGTGACAATACTCCCACGTCTGTCATTACGGATTAGCGAAATATTTGGATTTCGGAACGTTCATTAAGAAAACGTTTAGATATCAGAGCGATCAATAACGAAAAGACTGAATCGCGAAACGTTTATTGAACGAAACATTTGGATTTCGAACGTTCGTGATCGATACGTTTTGAATATTGAAACACTAATTTTTAACAAGTACATGGAAGAAATTTTATTGCAAAAAATTGCATAGTCGTTTCACAGAATTTCTGCAGTAGAAATAGAGGTGCATGAAGAAACTAACAACGAAGGCGATGAAGTGCTTACTGCTTTGCATATTATGCCAAGCTTTAGAAATTCTATGCAAGGTGTACCAGAGAATATACGAATGAATAATCTGCTATTTTGTTTTAATGAAATAATAACATAGATTAATTTCAAAAATTCTTCCCGCCTATTTTTTTATAATTGCTGAAAATATTGACGAACGAGGATGAATACTATAAAAACAACACATTCTCTTGATTTTTCATAAAATAGTTTAACAGAATATAGTGAACTGTCTATTGATACACCTAACAAACTACTTAATTAGTATCTACGACGACAATTTAATATGACTTAAATATTTTTCTTGACTTTCTGAAGCGTAATATGATTCATGGTCAGTAAAAACCCCATAATACAAATATGCGTATGGCTATCAATAAAGATACAAATTAATTTTTATATAATATTTCCATTATTGAGGAGTTTTGGTGATGGCGGCATATTGTTGAGATTACGAACAACTTGATGTTATTCCAAATATAAAGAAGTTTCATTTCTGACGAATATATAAAAAAATATAATAGAAAATTAATACTCATAAAATATTTTCAATCGCCTTACACTGTATAAATATCATAAAAATATTCGAATGCTTAGAAGTTAGATCAAATTAGAAAATTAGAAATAGATTAGTCAATGTCATTTTTTTTGCATTCGATATAAAACTTGCTGTACTAAAGTTCAAAATTCACAATATTACACAGAAATACGAAGTACTTATGTGCAATTTAGCTGCAAATATATATATTTATTTATTTATGGTTTATTATTTCGTTCGGTAAAGTTTGTGTCAATCGACGTTTAAAATAGTTATTTTTATTGCTTGTATTCTGAAAAAAAAACATAAATAAAAATGAAAACAAAGAAACAATCTACTTTCAATTGTAGCTGTAAGTAAAAGAAAAAGTGATTTCAGCGATTGAAGTAATTTTTCTTAATTCTTAAAGTTTTATAATTTTATAGCATTTAACTTTTTCATCTTTTGAAACTTGTAGGGAAGTTTAATACAGAAAGTTTGCATTCATCAGTCTACTTCGTTTAATAAGCTAAGGCGTTTTCTTCTTCAAAGTTTATCCCAGGTTTTCTTACTAAGTAATTAATTAGAAATAAATTTAAATAAGTTACTTTCACTTCGATGTTTTACCATTTTCATTTTCTGGTACCATTAAAGACATCATACTTAAATGCAGTTCCAGCTCATATCAATGTTCATCGCAAGAGTACACTTTTCAAAGCTTTAAAACTTTAATTGTGCACGTATTTCTGTTTCAATCCGTTTTGACTTAAACCGAGAAACTTATCCAGTTTCCAATTTGCTTCGAATTGAAACAAGAAACTCAACATTTCCCTGATTTGTGTTAGCAATTCGTTTTAACTTTTACTTCTCACAATTTTCTTTCTCCTCGTTGTCTTTTAGCCATACACGTGAAAGTACTCTGACGTCACAATATTGCAAATGGTATGAATTAATAAATAATTTACATTTTTTAATTAATTAATTTCACTTTTCCTTATATTGCAACTACTACTCAGTAATCACAGAAATCGTATTTCACTTACTAGAAGAAACTTACTTTTCATTTTCTAAATATTTCTTTCTAAGTTACACTGGTAATTAGACATTTAGAATTGTGAAAATTGTAAAATAAATTAATAATAATTCAAAAAATTTGTAAAACAATTTTTAGGTTAATTTCTTCCTAAAACAGCACGAAGCATCACTCACTTTTCTATTTTCTAAATTTTCGTAAAATTTTGTTGTCATTTTTAGTAACTGACACGAGTTTCATGAAAAGATCTCTTTATGTCAAATCAATCACCTTTTTATTCTCATGTCAGCGTGAAGGATATTGAAGAAATTAAATTATAATGTAGTCAATATGAAGATAGAAAGGGATTAAATCACCACACTACACTTACGATGTTATTTGAAACATACAAGACGTCTGAATTCGAAATTATTTCCAATTCTTACAAAAGTAAAGTGTACAAAATCATTTTTACGTTCAAAATTAACAGTTGCACGCAGTTCTTTCTTTTTACTTTGATGCTAAAGCATTTTTTTATATGCTAAAGCTCATTTTTATATACACTTTCGTTGAGGCTTGAAAATTATTTTTACAGCCTTGAAACCGAACACAAATTTTCGTTTTGAACATTTTCGCATAAAATAAACAACTTCTGTGTTTCAAGAAAATATACGTGGATTTCTTGAAATTTTCAAGTGGTAACGAAAATGTACAAATTTCAAAAACATTTAAAACAACAGAATAATGTATTTAGAGTTTCTTGAAACATAATTCTGTTTCAAAATCGATACTCAATGAAAGATTAAAAAAATAAATATTCTGCCAACGTTGTTGTAAATTCATTAAAAACTTCTTTAACACATTTTGGATGCATCGATACATGAATGTATCTAGGTTAACATACTGGAAAACCTTGTTATGGGATTAGTTTTTGTCAGAAAATATGGAAAGTTCCAGAACACTATTTTTACAACAGATTCTCGAATTATCACGAAAAAGTCTGCAGTAACTAGCAAATATAAAGGTTTATAATGCTCTAAATTATTAAAAATAAGTTAGTGTTAACCGTTGTGTCACCCTTTGTGAATGAATAATCAGACAAGCAACATCAGACTTCAGCTTTTTAGAACCAAATGTTATCGCTCTCGTAGCAAACAAATAATATCATAATAAAGAAACAGTCATACTTTTCCCTACTCCACATATTTCTTAACTCTTTAATTGATGCGTTCATTTTTCTTAGAAAATATTATCGAAATTTTTTAAAAATTCTCTTCAGAAGAAGGTTCATACGTATTTGTATTTTTTCAGTAGTTTTACTAAAAAACAATGGATTCTCTTTTAGTTAGTGAAAAGGTTGAAGTATAAAATGTATTTCTCAATGTATGATCTTCACAGCTGATAAAAGTAGAAAATTTACATGACCAGTAATCCGAGTCACGAAACCATCGACGTCGAGTATAAGAATATTGCATTTCAGATTGGATCTGGGAATTTCATAAATTTGCATATTTATCATTTACTGGTATAAAAATAATATTAAAATATGATCGTTGGTAGGTGAAGTTATTTAAGCATATTTTTAAAGGTAATAAAATTAATTATTTCTTATTTTTTGTTATACTTAGAAACGAATTACTAATTTGTTATTATATTTATGAATATTACGAATCTCTTATGTTAATTACGCTTTCATACAATATGTCTAATATTTAATGTTGAAAACTGAATATTTATATTATATTTTAAACATTTTTGCTTTTTCGTAGAGAATTATTCCGAAACTGCACATAAAATGAAAGAAATTTCATTAATATATATTTACAATCCGCGTTACTTTTTAACTATTAGATACCCGATTTTTCCTAAATCATTTCGCAACTTGACATTTAAAAATATTTTATTCCTTTTCATTAGTGTACTCGGGTCTTTTATAATAAATATATTGAAAAAGATGAACGATACACAATAGTGAAAATCGGTTATTTGAAAGATCACTGAAATCAAGATAAAACAAAAGAATGAACATTGTTGTAACATAATCTAAGAATCTAAAATACTCATTTTCAAACAGTGGTTATGTGTGTACATCAGTTAATAGAAAAAAATTTTTTCGAATCTATCGTTTCTTGTTCAAAATGATGTAAAAAATATTAATTCCAAACGCTGTTATTCGCGCATACTTGTTTTAACAGTTCAAACTTATTATTAGAACAAATGGTAGCGAAACATCCTGGATGATTTGTATAACATTCCAGTAGATTTTATGTGTGAATGTTGGAGAACAAAAGCAGTTGAGAAAATTTAAGTTTTTTTTTTTAAATTTTGAATACAAACATCTCACACGTATGATATTCTGTATTGTTTTCTGTATTTCCTATTACGTTACATTTCTTTATCTAAAAGAGAGGGCTAGGCTCAGTATGATTTAAAAAAGTGTCGTACAAAACGAATAGTACGATCTTAAACTTCGTGATACTAAATCCACAAACATCTTTTTATGGTCTGTTTTTCGAAAGATGATGCCTGGGAGGTTGGCCTGCCTCGGCGCGTGGCCTAGCGGAGATCCAACGTGAGCTGCGTATTTCGTGCGACGTTGCACGGTCTCAATGCCACTGTGTGTCTCTTTCCATCCTCCGGCACTTCGGCTCGCGAGCCTCTCGCTCAGACGCTCGGTAAACCAACTTCCTTCTTTACCCTGCGATTTCCACGTGTAGCGTTTAACAACCTACGTGTTAATTTGATCTCCTTTTAATATGTTGCTCAATATTTGGATACAATACATTCTTTTAAAAGAAATAAACTTTTTCTTATTCATGTATTTTAATTTTTGACGTGTGAAAACGTTCTGCGTCTCGTCAACATTCTCCGCCATTTCCAGACAATGGATGATTGACGGCCACGTGCCGAACGCAGTTCCCACTCCTTGAGGTTGTAGGTAGGTCCTTCTCGAGAGGTTTGTAATACGTGTGATAGAGACAGACGACCGTAGGCGAGGACTCACGTCGACGGTCGGACGTCGTTGGCCAAGACGCGAAGAATGAAAGAGACAGACGACCGTAGGCGAGGACTCACGTCGACGGTCGCACGGCATTGGCCAAGATGCGAGGAGTGAGAGAGACACAAGTACCGTAGGTGTCTCGCGATCGCGGCAACACCGCGAAAACTCGAGCCTACCTCCCAGGCATCATCTTTCGAAAAACAGACCATAGTTCTATCATATGTCGAGTCTGATAAAGAATTGGAAACTGATTCTGAACATATATACTTATAATTTACAAATACATATTAATAATTTATCGTTTCCATCATCAAAATTTCTGCTTACAAATACTCCAATTATTGATATAAACAATCAAGAAAACAATATATGCACTTGGAAATCTTGAATATTTAATCATTCCTGAACTATTTAGTTAATTCAATAGTACGCGAAACCAACAGATGTGCTGTCCAGAAAGTGAGATTTGATCATGTCATAAGGAACAATATGTTTTCCTTGAATTCTGATCACGCTAAAAAGTAACAGGTAGTTTTTAAGGCCATTTCCTCTCATTTTAATGGATTTTGGCAGGGTTAAGCCAGCGCTAACCAACTTTCTTTGCAGGGAGGCAAAAGTGATCCCCCACCACCGTCCTCTGTTACCATGGCGCAGAGACGTGCTAAAAATGATTAGAACATACATACATAATAGGATTGCTTCTCGCGTGAAGAATTATAACGTCTTTTGTTTTACAGTAACGTTAGGCCTGTCATGATCGTATTCTTAGCATCGCGCGGTTTCCTTGACGACAAAGTCACGCTCACGACTGAAAGTCGGAAGGGGAAACAAGCACATGAGGGGCCGTATGTTAGCCAGCATTGGGTTGAGCGTCCTGAAAATGGAAGAAGTTGGTAAAAATGTTTCCTACCGGCAATGAATTACCGACTGCGACTTTTGGATGCAGGTCAGTCATGCGCAGATCTGCAGTTGAATATTTCTTTTTCGATATGGCCACCGAAAGCTTTTATCGAAAATAAAATTAAGAAATCGGAACTTTTCACAGCGGGGATTGCCGAATGTGACCATCGCGTACTGGTAAATTGGTAAGTCCAACCCGCCTCTTTTTAGTTCTCTTGCTCTCGAAGGTTAAAATTTAAGCCTACAGTGGCTGAAAAAGACAAAATAAAATTTATAGTATAGGGAAGATTAATTAAAAACCATGAGATCGCCATTTGACTAAGATCGCCTGGTTGTTCAAATCTAGCGGCGCGTGTGAAAACAGTGTACTGTTTATATTACCCAATTTCTGCGGATTATAATCAGTCGTATAACCTTTTGGTTGCGTGTATTACAGGCTCTTCTGTAAATGCCACCATGATTTTGTTGTTCTTATGTTATTAGCAGTCTAATTTGTTTAAGTAAGCACCGCTTAATAAAAAGAGACACATCGTTTATATGTCTTATTCATTCTCCTGCTGTGCCAGAGCCGTAGCACAATACCCATATTAGTTGTGTCAGTTCTAAGAAAAACATAATTTTGTTTCACCATGAACGGCTATATTTTTTCTCGTTTATATGTAAATTGCAAAGTTATTCTAGTTCTTAACTTTGCGTGATACTAGTGTCATTGTATGGTGCATTTTGTTTAATGTTTTGTGGTACTGGTGCATCCTGGAAACATTATCGGATATAAGAAGTTTCCTTTCTGTTGGTAAGTAACTGGGGAATGACTGTTATACTCCGGCAAATCTACAAATAATAGTACTTATATCGAGTAATTCTTAAATTAAAGAGGAAAAGTTAAATGTCACTTAATAATCTTAAGAACGTATTTATTTTATAAGTTAACACATACCTTTAGAATTTCCTGAACGTGTAAGTATTTACTTAAGAGTTGATTTCTTGTATCGAGCATATTATAAAAACTTATTCTGAATGCCATTATAAACCTAATTGTCATTTGTTGCTGAAAGCATCTTCAGCAATATTTTCCTACATATGCTACAAATGATTAATTATTATTTAAATACAAATTTTAATGTAAAATTAATATTTAAATACAAATTTATACTTTCATTTAATAAAGCAATAAACTGTTGATGGAAATGTTAGATATAGACACTGTTGTATGTGAATTGAAACTGTTTATAATAGCATGTACGACTTTAAACTGGTAAGTATACTTTACTAAAATTTGTAGCTGTATTATATAAAAACATCAGAGAAGTTGTGGCAAGCATACTTGTGATTGCTGCTGCAGGGTTGGCTCATAAATTAATATTACTTTCTCAGTTTATTTTCACAATTATTCTACAACAACTATAATATTTACTATCAATATGTGTATAACTTCTAGTTTACCAAAATTTTTAGTTCATTCATTTAAGTAATTCATTCATATAGTATTTGTTTCCTACAATATTAAGAAGTATAGTGTATATTATTACTTTATTTTCGTGTTTACCTTTGTTGATTTACATATTGCTGACCCTGATGCTGCATTTTATGTTCTTTAAACCTTACAATAATTTCATATTTTCAGAATTCTTGGTGAAAATTTTTCACAGACGTGGATCAGCTATGCAGAATTTTGATGATCTAGATATAGAAGGTCGTAATCCTACTCATTTATCAGAAGCAGGCAAGGATAAGGTAATGCACATCAAAGCATGTGTATCAAAACGTAATACTTACAATTTGTTTGTTAGGGAACCTATAAATTAGAATTCTAATCATATTCCGAGATGTATTTATTACAACTGAATGCAAAATAATGTTTATATTAACATAAACAGTTCTATTCAAATCAGTCACAAGTTTAGGTACTCTTTACAAAATACACCTTTACCATGTTGTTAAACAAATTGTTTAATATTCTACTAATTACCAATATACTGTTATGTACTGCAATATATTATTGAAATCATAGCTATTTGTCCACTTTATGAAGTTTTTATATTTCACAGGAAGAATATGATCGAAAACGTTTAATGAGGAGCAGTGTCACTGCTGAAGATGGCACGCTCAGACCTGTGTATTCAGAAACAGAAGATGGTGATATATGGTGTCATATATGTAACATAGCTTTGTTCGGAGCTCACAAATTACTGAATCATAACATGTGTAATCGTCACAAAATGAAATTAGACGAATGGCCATATCCAGTTTTATTATGGTCCAAACGATCTGATATCGTAAAAACGACTCCACCAGCACAGTCTACTGCTATTGGCGATGGTTTGGCACCTGGAGAACCAGTACCACCTGGTATGGAAGACCAAATAACTAGAACAACAACAATTCAGATGAGTCTAGATCGCCATAGAAGTTCTCCTCTCGTTGGCCTTGAATATCTACTTGAACTGGTTGATAATGATTCTTGCGAACCCAGTTATACATGTGTTTTGTGTGATAAAAGGGGCGACCCTCGTACTGTTATGGCTCATATTACAAGCTATAATCATAGAATAACATACCTAAATAGACATTTTCCTACAATATCGCGAGCTATTACGGAGTTACCGCGTACTCCGAATTATAAACGTGGAGCTAATGAAATATCGGTGTTAGTGGCTAAGAAGATTGAAGAACGATTTGGAAGATTACAACCTCAATTGGTAGATAAAAACCAATTTGAAAAAAGTAAAATGCAGTACATCAAGAGAGTCTACCAAGATTATCACTTTAGGTAAGTTGTAATGTTCTTATTTTTACATTAAACTCTGTGTACTTGAGCATTATACGAATTGAGCATTGCAATTTGCGTGTTTTACGGTAGTCAATAGATGTGATTAGACATGGTGCGCGACTGTAATCTTTTTAATTTAATTTACATTTCCTTAAAATCAATGGCTGTTTCCTACATGCAGGGAAACACCAGAATTAACATTTATGGATGTTTACGATGTGCGATGGGTAACGAACTTTGAAGAGAAGGTAGCTGAAACGTCTGGTAATAGTGGTTCAAAGAAAGGTGAGTGCATAACAATTTATATTATCAATACAAAGTTATTCACATTGGAACTATTTAATTCTATAATGATGATCTTGCATAAAGATTCTCAAGCTGCGGATGAGAAGCTAGATGACAAACATAAAAGTGAAGACAAGAAACATGAAAAATCACCGCCAAAGAAAACAGATTCTAAATCAGACACTACAAAATCGTAAGTTAACATTTCTTTAAAATAAAATATTAAAGTATTTTATAACAAATATTTCATTAATCTTCTTCACTTGAATTATAATTCCAGTATAATGTAGTATCGTTGGTTTCTGTACCAGTAACAACTTCGAATGTTAAGCCTGTGTTTTGTCTTTTTTAGGGGATTCAAGATTCGCATTTTCACGAGGGATAAGTTAAATATCCGTAAACCATTAGATAAAGAAGAGGACAGTGTAAAGAAGTCTCCTAAACGACCTTCTGATGAAACAAAATCTCTTTCGTCGCTTTCAAGCATATCAAGTAGCCCCTCGCCATCGCGTTCACGGTCACGCTCTCCTGTTCGTAATCGCAAGACCACTTCAATAGATAAAAGTGGAAAGTATCGCACTAAATCACGGTACTCGCGAGGTCAAACGCGTTCTCGTACGCGTTCGCGTTCACGTTCGCCAGAACCGCTTAGAGAACGAGATAAGTGGGATAAATATCGCGAGCAAATTAGGCGTGCTGAAGAGACACTCGATCGTGCATTGAAGTTTCACGAAAAGAATCCAGAAAAACATCCGTCTTATCCCGACGAATGGAAGAAATTCTGGAATAGACGATACAAGGAATTACAAGCAGAAGGTAAAGATCCTAGTAAACATGATTTTAAGCCAGAGTGGATAGAGTTCTGGACCAAACGAATGCGCGAGATCCATAACGAACAGTTGCAACAGAGAAAAGAAGAAATTAGGAAACGGTTAGAATTGCCAGAAGACAAACCACCAGAAAAGTGGATACCACCAAGTAGGCGTGATAGGTCTCCACCTAAAAGAAGTCGTCATCGTGTAGAGAGTGACGATGAAGTAGAGTATGTTGGCACGAAAACTATTAAAACGGATTATTATGATCATCATGATATGAGAGATCGCGATTACGCGTATGCGTCGTATGTGCGGGGTAGGGGAAGTATGTACAGAAGTAGTTACTATCCTCGTGGTGTTACGCGTACAAGACCAATACATTATGCGACTCCTTATCCGGTGAAAGACACATCACCAAGCCCTATCCCGGACGAGATATTAACTGAAGATTTAGAAGTGGTCGGCTTATTAAGATTGCTCACGGCACTAGAGGGACAGTTGGGTTCTCTGGGGCCGAAGATAGTATCTCTTCTTTCGAAAGCATTGGCAGCAGAAAAAGCAAAACCAAACTCTGCCGAGGAATTGCTTTATGACGAAGAAGTAAGTGTGCTTTTTGAAACGGTTAAAGAGAAACTTAAAGGTCAATTGTTCGCTGGAATGATAGAAAAAATGGCCATAACACCAACGAAAACCGCGATACAGAATATTGCTCAGTTGCTACACAAAGCAGCGGAAAGTAAAAAGAAAATGGAAGAAGAGAAGAAGAAAAAGAGAGAATTGGAAGCTACACAGTCGGCAAGTTACATCCCAAGAACAGTTTATTCAAGGCCAGTGGAGATAATTGCACCCGTAATTAAATCCGAACCTGTTAGTGTACCTGGTGTTGGCACTGTAGACAAAGTAGCTATAGCTCAACAAATAGCAGCTGCTTTGGTAGCTCAAGGTAGATCAAATGTGTCACAAGAGGAATTGGAAACTCTTATTAATGCTGTTGTTGGAATGGCTGAAGCATCCAAGAATTCTGACAAACCAGTTACTACCGCTGATTTTGTTAAGGGACTGGCAAGAGGCAACAGTTCTCTTCCTCAAATTACAACGTCTGCACCTGTAACGTTGACAACAGCGGACACAGTTGAACGTCAAACTTCTAAAATGGAGAGTTTGTCGGATACAGACTTGAAATCACATTTGCAAAATTTTAAAGACTTATCTACTCAGGAACAACACGGACTTATTAATTTCTTAAAAAAATTAGAAGTAACCGATCCAGTTCGGGTAGAAAAACTAAGAGCGTTTGTTAACTTAGGCACAACGTCAGTAACAACGTCGATTCCCAAAATAAAGTCTCCAACGCCAGAAAACACAGAAACCAGTATTAAATCGAGCAGAAGTATTTCGCCGTTTTCTGCGCGTAAAGGAAATCAAAATCCTGTTGAAGAGGAAGATAAATGGAAACCTAAGATAGACATGTTTGCAAATGACGATGAGGAAGAGCAGAAAATAAAAAATGATAACGAAGACAAACAGAAGACGAAATTAGATTTGTCAGATGACGATGATGATTACACATTTGAAGATATATATAAAGCAGCGGACAAAAATGTCAGCGAAAACGAGAAAGCAAAGAAAAAATCGCGAGGATTTTCAAAGTCGGTGTCAAACTCACCAAGATCCTGGACACGATCTCGTTCACATTCAAGGTCACGTTCGCCGGTGAAATCGAAGGATATAATGAAAACTAGCGATCCAAATGCAATATTAAATGAAACCAAACGATTAATCGCTAATATAATGGGAGATCTTCCAAATAAATATGTGCCAAAGTCGCACCTAGCGCTTGGAAGTGGAACTATTGAACAAAATGCATCGAAATCATTAGACCAAATTCCTAATACATCAACAGCTCCTGTGTCGAACTTTTATAATCAAGGATATGTTCAAACCAGTCAGCAGACTTGCTCGCGTCCACAAGCACCCCCTCTTAGCTATCCTAGCATATCGAATCAACAGTTCCAAAATTATCCACAGCAACAAGTTTACGGTGGTAATCAGGGTTACGTGGATAATGGTTATAACTATCAAGGATATGGTGGTATGAATAATCAGGGTCAATACAATGGACCGCCCATGGCATCGAATCAATACCCCAGTCAACAAAACTATGGTGGATCACCTTACGGTGGACCACCCGCCGGTCATTCCTCGAATTATCCTCAGCAGCAACCACAACAGCAATATGGAAATTATGTGCAACAACAACGTTTCTATTAAAGTGACTAAGTAGAAACCTTTTTATAAGAATGTGTTGAAGTTTCACAGTGATTGTAAATCTCTTTACAATTGTTACAGAACTGGTTTTTCCTTGGACACTGTGTAAGTGTCTGCGAGGCAGTTTAAATGTTATTAGTTCAGGGATCATTAATTAAGGACATAGGAATGATCAGAATCTTATTCAGTTTCTAACTAAATTGAATGGATTATGTAAATATATTTAAAAATTCATGAACAATGTTATTGCATAGAACTTCCTGACGAATTTGAAATTTGCGTTTGTGGATCCTCTTCATGCATGAGACGTTTATTTCAATGTCACTTTTTATATGTTTATAAGTCACGTATGTCTCGCCGTGTGGCGGCAGGACTAAAATTTATTAGAAATACCTCACTTTGCTTAAGTGTATAGCAACAAACGCGTGGAGTGAACGTGAATTTGTAAAATGAAGTGTTAAGGCGACGATATCAACAGGAATACAGTAAGTAGAGAAAAAAGAAAAAGAAACGTGAATGAAAGAAATATCTTTACTCTGAATTACAATTTTGTGATGCTTATTTTAATTCAATATTATTGATTCATAATACGTTTATCATCTTCATAGTTTAACAGGTTCAGATATGCGCGATAAAGCATCAAAGGAGTTGAAAGTAACAAATATTATTTTTACAAGCACTTTTAATCTTGAAAGAAATATATAATAATAATAACAAGAAATATGTGTAATTTTTCAATTAAAAAATACGTTGTAAAAGTGTATTAAACAAGTAAACAGTAACATTCTGTTTGTAAATACTTTTAAGCGTGTAAGTTTTTCATATTACAGAGAAACTATAAAAATATCAAGGAACTTTGTTCTTAATATCCTATAATAATAGTAGAATTAAATTAATAATAAAATTAGCTGTATAAAAAAACACGAAAACGAATTGTTTTATCCTATATTTCACAGTTTTCATTTTAGCAAATATGTACCATAAAATTACGCCCACAACTGTCAGCCTTTTATAACGAGTAGGAATCTCAATTTTAGTAGAATGTTTATTCTTTTTTTTTTTACTGAGTCTTGATTATTTGGCCTGTTAATTAGTAAATGAATAAATGAAATTATGTATACGTTTTCTTTCTTGATTACTAGACTGCAGATGTGATAGATTTATAGCATGTATGAATATTAAAAATATAATACAATAAGCATTTTAATGATCTTAAGTAGATTTTTTAATGTATATTTAATCTAATAAAACACGTAATGAAAAGAAAATTAATATCATTGTTTACGTGATTTATAAAAACGTGTATTTGCATATATCCAGTCTATTGATCACTTTTCCAGTAGACAACATATCTAAATTAACCAGTAACTACTCTGTACATAAAGATTAAAAATTAAATTCTACATAATCCATTCTAAATAGTATCTTATTACTATGGCAAGTTTTACCATTAATACTAGTGTTTTTAATAATATGGGTGTTACTATATATTATTTTTTCACTTTAAAAATTTGTTCACAACAGAAATAACAGGTCAAATGATCAGACCAGTTGCATCAAAATGGTGGATACTGCCACTATCCACGATAATCGATTAATAAATCAGTATCTTTTTAATTTCAAACTTATTTATTCCGTGTACTTTATTAATGCAATAATACCACGCGGCTGCACATTGACTAGAGAATTATAAAGACTCCAACTATTTCACGCTTATCGAATAACGCGATACCATGGCGTCTTACGACAACTATATAAATTAATCGAATACGACCTGACATGTAGTTCGCGCAATATTTACATTTCACTTTACAGACGCAAGAGAATGCAGTACAATTTTCTACTTCGGCACGAGTCCCCTAGTCTTCGGATAAACGGGCGGTGGAATCTGTTGGATTTTCCCAACGCTCTTAGGTCGTATTTTTGCGGACTGTAATCGCGGTTTCGATCTGAGTTTTGCGTTCGAAGCATCCACGTCAATGTCGCCCTCGTCGCGTAATGCTTGTTCAAGAACGGCTTGAATCGTGGGCGCTATGACGGGTCCTTGATAATCCAACGTCGTCCTTGCGGGCATATCAAGATCCAAATTCAATATGTTTTCACCAGCGTAGCGACAACCTCGCCCCATTGCCAGGGCGATTCGTGCGTATTCCGAAACCGGCCTTCGTGCACATGGAACTGACGTGGGTCTCTTTATCGCATCTATACTGGATGGCTCTGGGTCTTTCACTATCCAACAGTCTTCCTCTTCATCCAGATGAGTTCTTGACAGAATTTTATTCTTTTCCTCTTCGGGAATAAAATTTTCTATTATAAGATACTTTAGTTTCAGTTCTTTCATCAACTCGTGTTGGGTTTGTTCCAAGTCCCTCCTGTCCCTGTTGAAATCATTAGTAACATCTTCTAGTTCCTGCTTCAGAACCTGCAACTTCGTGAAACATTTCCTTAGTTTCCTAGACTTCACGTCAACTTCCTGCTGCAGATTCGTATAAGTTTCCTTCACGCCCAACATTGTTAGCTCTTCGTCTTCCAATTTCTGTTGCATTTCAACTTCTCGTTTCTTTCTCTCTGCAATCTCAGCCGCCTTCTGTTCCAATGCCCTTTGTTGTTCGTTTGTGTGATCGATGATGTTTTTACCTCCACAAAGCATCTTGCTCTCCAAGTCTTTAATTCTCAGTATAAGATGCTCCGTCTCTTGTTTCTCCGCTTTCAGCTGTTCCGCGATAAGCTTCTTATCAGTTTCGATTTTATTATCCTCGCCTCGGCTATCCTCTGTTTCAGATTCTGAATCCGCAGCCTCATCTCCTTTCTTTTTTTTCGGCTTTTTCTTTCGTCTCTGCACCATACCCTTTTGGGCTAACTTCTCCTTCAGTCGACCTATTTCTTCTTGATACTGCCTCAGCAAAGCGTCTTTTGGATCTTCGTTTATCCTTGGCTTATTTTTTATGTTTTTCGCGCGGTTGGCATATCGTAACGTCGTCAGAGTTTCATCGTAATTGTAACTCGCAGGACCAATATTCGCAACCATAATAGTCTTTGAATTTCCGCCTAAAGAGTCTTGTAGTAGTCGCGTAAGCTTAGAATCTCTATACGGTACGTGTGTGGTTTTTCCATCCACCAAAGCAGAAATCACATTTCCCAGAGCCGATAAGCTTAAATTGATCTTACTCGCTTCCTTCAACCTTTCACCGGAAGCGCCAGTTTTGCTCTGTCTCTCGCTACCGGCGAGATCAACCAAGTTCAAACGGCCTACTCTAATCCCTCCGGTATCGTCGATAGATCCCATCTCAATAGTAATCAAAAATATCGCATGCGATCGAGAGCTATGTTCATTCATATTTGTCGCACCTATAGTCCTGTTCTGGTTACCCATGTTCATCAACTGCTGTATCTCTGTGGCGCTTTTACACACCGATGTGGATAGATCTTTCACGAACACACCTGTGTCCGGTTTCTCCTTCAATTCGAACCGAAGACTCTGATCAGACTGCAGAAGATCGCGTATTTCCTCTTGATAGATCTCTAGATAGCTCGCGCGTACCAAATATTGCATATTCTCGGATCTGCCAATATGATTGAAGATATGCTCGAAAGACCGTGGAATCACACCCCGTCTGTTGTAATCGTTTTTTAGACCCTCCATGGTATAAGTTTTCCCAGTACCGGTTTGCCCGTAAGCGAAGATGGTACCGTTGAAACCATCAAGGACGGAGGACACTAATGGTCTGACCGTTTCCTCGTATAGGTCTTGTTGGCTGGAGTTCCAGTCGTAAACCGCATCGAACGTGAAGACTTTCACATTATCGCTAGATGGATCATCCCGCGGATGACGAATCTCGACCACTCCCCTCGATGGAAATACATCTACCACACGTGTATATCCACGAGTCAATTCCTTTTCGTCCATCGGTCGACATCTTACGACAACCTGGACACACTGGGTCACTACCTCTGATGTCGCGTTCGACTTCATATTTTTCCTTTTCCAGGTCTTCTGTTGGTTGTCCGATCTTTCCATATTGACGATCGATTCACCTGTGTAACAAGAGAAACTCAGCACAGGACCTGACAAACACAACTAGTTTGCAAAACCAATAATTACATTTAACAAAAGAGCGAAACAATTGTCTAAATAAAAGTAATGATATTTATTACTCTCTGAATGAATAACTCCAATAACTTTTTGTTTTTATACATGAATAGGTATTTTCAATAAAAAAAAATTTTAAGAAACTTTGATATTTCTTGTAATAATCCCTATAATTAACAAACGAGCAATAAAAATCGATTAGGTAACTTTTTATACAAGCAGTAGTATCTGTTAGTACATACGATACTGTACCGATAACAATTTTTTTCTTTTTTAAGGGAAATTACAAGGAGAATAAGAATCATGGATACTTAAAACTTTTATACTTAAGTTTTTACTTAAAACTTTTATATGAATATAATGTAATTTGTTGCTGTAAACGTTACTATTTCATCTCTTTTTATTTCGAACACTTTTAACTACAAGCTCTGTCACTTTTCGCGTGAAAAGATACGAAAATTGAGTGCAAAAACCTTAACCAAAGATTACGTGAACACACTTCAAGCGTTGTGATTGCATTAGTACTAATAACACACTTACCCCCTCAAGTTTTCAGATAGAATAAGCACGCACAGTGCGAACAACGTTACAATAAAGGAACAACGATTTTTCATTGTATCCGCATATTACCCGTTTCCACACGGTATTGATCCATTGTTTGCTTTCTAGGATTTGCACTATCAACACCCGCCCTTTTTATATCCACTTCTTCAATCAATCTCGTTTCAAGGACTACTATCATACCCCCACGACAATCAGGACTCAGTGTTTAATCGAGTCACTGAGGCTATACACGACACATTGTGACAGAATATAGGAACGACCGCATCATATTTTGACAGCACAAAGCCATTATGATCAAGCCTGCGCAGTAAACTCCTCTCTCTCGTTTCCACGGACATACTGAATCGATCTCTCGCATAATCATCGAGTATTTTAGTCAAGACGGTCTTGCTGAAGCTCTTCGGTGAAACGATACAACAGAAAGTTCCTTTATCGGCGAAATGTAAGAATTAGTTCTTATTCTTGTTCGTTTTCAAAAACAAATTACATATGTATATATTTTTACATAGCATAATTTTTAAAACACATTTCGTAAATAGTGGATGTAACATGTGTACTAAATTTTGTTCGTACAACATTGTCCAATTAATTGAACTAAAACAAAAAACAAGAATGTTTCATTTTCTGAAAGAAATTTGCTAGGGAAGTACGTAGGATTTTTTCGATATCTCCAAAACTTTCTTTTTTACAGACGTTTTTATGTAAAACTTTTAGACCAAGATTGATTTTTTTATTTTAAATGCTCACCATTTTTACAAGACTAAGCAATTTTAAAAAATCCTACGTAAGTACTTCCCCAACAAATTTCTTCTAGAAAATGAAAAACTTTTGTTTTTTTTTGTTTTAATTCAAACCAGTTCAAATCTAGCGACTGTGATCCACGTCACCGCAGAAACAGTTGGCCGAAAAAGTGCTCTACAGAAGGGACACTTGCATCGTCATTTTGTATGAAAAAAAATATTTTTGTATATTTGAACAAATATGTATATATTATAGCCATCGCAAATGATTTCCAGTTTACTTTAATGTATTGTCAGAAAAAATTCACAAAGGTGCCTATGATTTTCAAGGGGCCAGGGTGGGCTAACCCCTTAAAGCAAATAACTGTAATTGGATCTACTTTTCGTAATTGTTTTTAAATATACTAATGGTTATATAGTTGTCCACCCCGCTCTGACAACTATTTTATCGCACTTAATTTGTAATTTTATTCAGCATTTAATTTTTCTGTGCATCTTGATAGGTTCTATTGCTAAAACTAATTATAGAAGACTTCAGTAAGTAAGTTGCTATTCCCATAATATACTTCTGACTGCAGATTAACTCAATTTGTATATTCTTTGTGGTATTTGTGTACATACTTGACAAACCTTGTACATCTTCGGGCGAGATGTGGACAAGTCAATTTTTTCGCAGAATTTTTAAAGTAATACTTAAAGTAGATTAAGTCTCCGTATTTGTTTATTTCCAAAAGTTAGGCGAACATTAAAATTGCGATCGGTCTCTATGGGTCTAGGGCTCCCAAACGAAGGGCGTCCAATAAATTGACTTTACGGTTTCTCATGAAGCTTTTGCCGTACTAAGCTTTAGATTTAAAGTTGTTTATATGACATATGCCCGCCTGGTACTATTATTTCTTATTGCTTGGTCAAGTGATAACGCTGCAATCGGATTGAACATTATTTGAATAAAATATTTTAAGACAAATTACTTGAATAAAAACAATTATTCTCAAGTTATTTTAATATAAGACAACCATTTTAATGGTTTATTACAAATATAATTTTTTTATATTTCAAATAACCTGAACGCCAGACCATAATTTACGGTGTCCATTCTAAACACTATAATCTGTTATAAACATTAAATCAGAAGTTGCGTGTAGAGTATATTGAGGAGCCACCCTGTGATAGGACTGTGACACTGACTGACTAATAGATTATGCAGTTTATCATAGATGGCGCCACAGACCATTTCGACCTTATTAATCGTTTCATATAAAAAAAACTTAAATATTAATTGAAACGGTAAATTCACAATTGTTTATGCACAACACTAATTCAAGGGGATTCAATAAACAATCTGTAGAGTTTGGAAAAATATGTCATCATGTATTTTGCGATTTTCTGTATTTCTTATGTTGTATACCATTGAATACAACGAGGTAAGAGAGAAATGTTATTGCAGCTGATGATTCACGATTTATTGGAGTAAAGTGGATTACTATTTTGATCGTCGGTTACATTGTATTTGACATGTAATAAAATCGTCTGCTGATTGTCATTGAGTTTGTGTAATAATTACCTTTGACAGGAAGTACTTTAACATTTTTTAGTCAAACCTATGCTAGAAATAAAAATATTAAAACAAACATGATTATTTACTCCGTAATTATTTTTTAATATTCTACAATATTTATTACGCATATACATTTATTAGGAAACCTGAAATTATTTCGACTCCATTTATGTATGTACCTTAATTTCAAATTCATTATTATGAATGAAGTTGTATACTTACCTATTTTGTTAAATAATATTTTAAGTATCTATAGCTTTTTACTAATATGTTACATTTTCTAAATTTTAGAAAAATTTAACTCATATACTACAGGTGGTACTTTTCTTATTTATAGAAAGAAACTTTTGACGAAGGAAATGACATTCTGTTCCGTAGCTAGTTTCATAGTGTGCAAGTCACCTCCTTGAAAGGGTACTACTGCACCAGTATTATTTATTGGAAAGACTGCTCTGTTTAATTGATAACTGAAATCAATGTTAAAAAACTGGAAGTGTTTTATATAAGTACATCATAATGTTAGTGTTGCACAATAAATTAATAAAAATAGAAATTTTATAGATAAATTGTTGGAATAAAGTTTCTTCAATTATTCGATGTTTTAGTATGAGGATTGTATTGTAAATAACTTGTCTAAGAAAACATTAAGCAGTTCATTATTTACATATTGTTTCTTTTACACGAGATAACGGTAAAAAATACTAAATCGAATGCTCTATGCAAATTTGAAAATACATTATGTAAACTTCGACTGTCTGCAGTTACTCTTGACATTATTGCAACTTAATCATTTGTTGCTATTTTGTTTCAGACAAAATGAAATTGTGGTTAGTAATAGTTCATATCGTGTTGGTTGCAACAAATATATGGGTCACAGCACATTTTCACGAGGAACTTCCTGAAGACAATGAATTTGCAGAGTTTGAAGACTTTGAAGAAGAAAAACCAACTCAGTCAATTAATGATCGTGTAGCAGAACATTTTAAGGAGACAAGCAGTAATCAAGATTTTGAAGAGGAGGATGTATTAATTGTTGATAGCGACAGTGAGTTCGATCACTTTGATGAAGAAGAATTTGAAGGAGTAGATTCTGCTGGTGGAAACACAGGCTTAAAAAGCGATGAGTCATCAACATTAACAATCACAAAAATACCGTTACATTTGCGTGCAAGATGGGACAGTTTTTATTTAGAAATATTAATGATCATTGGACTATTGGTATATTTCATTAACTATCTTGCTGGACGATCGAAAAATGCACGCATTGCAGAAATGTGGCTCATGGAGCATAAACAACTTTTACTTGACAACTTTTCTCTCGTTGGTGATACAGGAAAGTCGAGTGAAGATACATCTGAAAATGGTTTAGTAAAAGAAAGTCAGTCTCATTACAGTTTGTATTGCTCAGGAAGAGTTGGATGTGATTCTATGTTAATTGAATTAAAATTACTTAAAAGACAAGATTTAGTCGCAGTGTTGGCACAACTTGTGCGACCTCAAAACGATCAAGCACTTATACGTATAGAATTAGCAAAAGATGAAACAGATAATTTTGTATTGGCTGTAGCTACAAAACGAACTGCAATGCATTTACTGCGGGATATGGCTGATATTAGTGTTTATTGTCCAGAAAAAAGACCAGGAGAAAAATTTGGTCTTCCATCAGGATTTTATGTAATGTCTGAAATTGCTGAAGCAGTATCAACGATTTTAGATACAAGAGTTTTACAAGCGTTTACAAAGTTTGCACAATATATTGATTATATACATATTAGTGACCAATTTAGTGGTCCCAAGCAACAAGAGTAAGAATGGAAAACAAATTTTCAGTTACAATTGCCTGTTTTCTATGATTTTGTTTCTAATACTATATATTCAATTTTAGGGATACAACACAATTAACAATGCCTGAAGTAAAGAGAGTTTTACTTGTTGGACTAAATATAAGTATGAAAGGGCATACAATCAATGCAGAAAGTCAAGAAAAATTGAAGCTGCTTTTGCAATTAACTTTTTATTTATTAGATAAATTACGTCGTTTCAAATTGTCTAAAGAGGTGTGTAATTTTTTGTTGAAGGTGTATTACTATTTCAATATGTTACATTACATTATAATATTATTTTTAGGGCAAAAGTAAAGCTGATAAAAACAGATTGAGAGTAGAGGAAGCATTCTTAAAAACAACTCATGCTGCTAGAGCTGAAGCAGCTGCACAGAGAAAAGAAGAACGTCGTAGAGCTGAAAAAGAACGTATTCTACAGGAAGAAGATCCTGACAAGCAAAGAAAGTGGGAAGAGAAAGAACAACGGAGACTTGCTAAAAAACGGGCACCTAGAATGAAGCAGCTTAAAGTTAAAGCATTATGACCAGACACAGTGAACTGTAAAGAAATTGTTGAAACTTCTAAAGAGTCATGAGATACTCAACTGAACTGCCCATTCAGTCATTCAGTAAGACTATTTCAACCACATTCATACTTCTTTTGGAAATATCCATCGTTCATTGATCAAATCGTAATCGAGTTTTAAAAAGAAATCCATAGGTAAGTATCATATACTTACAATTCACTATAGTGAAATAAAACAAGTTTATATATCTCTTAATTTTCAATGTATAATTTCACTTGGTTTACCTGTTAGTAATATATCAGTACTATTAAATATTTATTTTATAAAATAATTGGTATAATTACTTTTATGAGTTATACCTTGTATTGAATATATAATCAAAAAGTGTTACATAGACTTCATTTCATACAAAAATGGCAACAGTGTGTTATGAAAATAATATATCATTATTATTTTTAATCGATAATAGTATTGTTTGTTACACAATTCATTCTTAACACCCATCCTTTTATGTTATAGCTATATTACAGTACATATTAATATACTATGGTATATATGTACTTGTACAAGTCAGAAGGAAGTAATTTTTTGAACAGTTCTTTCATTAAAAATGAATATAATTAAAGTAATTTTTTAAATTTCCTAAATTATATGTCTTTATTTCTTATTACATACAATTATTTATATTTGTTCAAAGTAAAAAACAAAATTATGAAAAAATGATATTTTCAGTTCTAAGAGAATATGATTCAAATAATATATATATAGATTCCAAATTAGCATTATGCTTGCATTTGTTTAATTATTTAGTACTAAATATTATACATTAGTTCATTATATGTGAAATGAATGAAGGGAAATATAGCTGAAATCGCACTGCCTCCGAAATTGCACCAATCACCATTTAATGGTTCTAAAGGGCAATTACCGTCATCTATTGTGTTAAATTTGAAGTAAATTGAGTATGCATAATGCCACAGAAGTCTGGTTAAAAATATCACTCTTTTAATTATTCTGTGCATGTTAGAAGAAAAATTTGTGTTAGTATTTAATATTTTCACTGGTATCCTTAGGCTTTGGTACTAAGGTAAGCAAAAAGTTTCATTTCATTGTATCATATATCTAGATATACCTATCAGTAAAAACATTCAGAACAGTGCACAGGTTACTAATCGTATGGCAAGATAAAATATTATTTCTATAATTATCTACCGGTAACGGTGGTCCAAATTAATGCAACGACGATTATTATTGGAAATCAGTCACAATTATCAGTCAGTATTATTACTCCTGGAATTAAATTGGGCTTGAATTAAAATCGAATTAAAAAACTATATTTGCCTATCCTAAACAGGATGGGTTAAAATTCGTGGTACAAATAAGGCCAGGGAAATAGTACGGCTCGGAATGAGACTACAATCAAGAATACGAAATTGCGTTAGAGGCTTCGTTTTCGAAAGAATCAACTTTGAAAATTAATCTGAAACACGTGTATTCGTTATGATAGTAAGTAGAAACGGAATGCAATGAACAGACGCGCTATCAAAGTCCTATTCTATTCCACGCGTATCCAACAGATTTTCAAGTTCGATTATCTCGAAAACGAAACCTCAAACGTAATTTCGTTATTCCTTATTTTCCCAGATAGCACATGACGCCTTGAAGACGCCTATTCTACGGCTATTTTAAGTCTAAGGCGCCTTTAAGCCGTTATTATGCCGCCTTAAGCCGTCAGTGTGCTATCTGGGTTGGTGTCAAATTAATTTACAAACATCTATAATGAAAAATATGATTAAGAATCAAACATTGTCTTCGGGTCAAATTGATTATTAATTGATTATTAATTATTGGTTAATTATCTTCAATTAAAGATATCTTTGTAGATGTTTGAAATAATTCAAAACTGTAATCATATAATTGTGAATTTAATGGGTTATACATATATATTAAACTTCTTGGATTATTGAAACACACGTCGCTAGAACAGTAAAGTCCTCGGTCGGCTACTTTTAGGGTCCATATAGAGTAGCTTTCTCGTGGTACTAGATACGATGGCAATTAAGATAACCTCGGACGAAATAGACACTGCGACTGAGTGAGAGCGCAAAATTCGGCAGTCTATTTTAATTCAGCGATTGCAACAAAGGTGACATGAAACCGGTGTATGAAAATAAAATTTTTGTGATGTTTGTTTTTTCTTAATGAAAATCTTTTTAGTGGATTGATGAGATTTTCCTGATAAAAATGAGTACAAACACGACATACATTGGACTATTTTTAGTTATAAAATAGTCCAATTGGGTTCGTGTTTGAGCTCATTTTATCAGAAAAATTGTGGTAGTCTGTTACAAATAATATCAGTAACGTAAGATACAAATGATAGGAATTCTATTTTTTACATATTTTAATTTGACAATATTGATGCCTACAGCCCATTTATGATGAAAGATAAGCTGGTTTGGCTAATATGACATACTACAAACGAGTCTAGGGGAGAAATGGTAGCTCTCCCGCGACCGAACAATATAAACTATTCCAAGTACTTTACTATACACAGTTTGCAATGTTCAGGTTAATTGTGATGAATATTCACCACAGTAAGAAATCTAAAAGTGTTAAGCAAAAGAATTAACCGGCTGGGGTACTGCAAGAAATATGAAACTGACCCTTTCTCCAAACGTTTACTAACGATAGCCTACTTGTTGTCGCTCTGGAACTTAGGAAGAGAAAACGGTCGACACTTCAAGTTATTATAAATTACACCTATCGTTGACGACACATCCCCGTTGTATATTTGCATATAAAATATGCTACAAATTAGTTTATTTTATAACAGTAACGTTATTCCGTTGTAAATCTTCTTACAGTATAGATCCTTCGTGTTTAATCGAGTGGTTTGGAAATCTTTTGTTTGATAGATTACTTTTGATAGGCTACCAGTGAAAAAAGTTGTGGATATATCATCATGCTGACATAATGTTGTTTGTTAAATGTTCATTTAAAGGTACATTTTTGTTTCCTATCGTAAACAAAAATAACGATCGCCCTCACTCAACTACGAAACCTTAGTTATTTAAATTTGTTCTATCTATAAATAATTTCAAAAATATTCAAAATGGTATTTCTGTCTGGATCATACTGAACGTGTATATTCAGGTACAAAGAATTTGGCATAAAATACTATGAGTGGAAAAACTTTTTATTACTATCAATAATGATCTTACAAAATAAAAAATTATTATCTGATACAAAATCAGCAATAACTATATTCAATCCATTTCGACCGGGGTGTTTCTGACCTATCCAAGATACAATTGCTTTCTGACATAATGGAACTAAATTCCTCTGCAGCGTTCCACACAGATGTTTTAATACATAAGAGACATCTGGAGTTAAAACACATTGCGATACGAAACCAATCTCCAATGGTCGCGCCAGCAATTCAGCATTTAAGAAATCTAAAAGTTCATCAACACGAGTAGTATTAGGCCATGGCGTACGCCATAACCCGCTTGGCCACAAATTCGAATAATTTTGCGCATAAATGTTTCTATAAATAACGATCACTTGGTACTTTTCCAAGTTAAGCCAGTTAAGTGTTATGTGATCAAAGCTCGAGGCTATTGGACATAGTTTTCTCTGAAATAAACGGAAAATCGTGTCCACAAGGTGGCGGTGGTCCATGTCCGAGAACGCGTAGAAATGTTGAAAATCTATGATTAAAATTTCGTTGTTATGAGAAGACAGCCATTCTGCCATTTCTTGTAACGGTTGGTATATTGTTGACCCATACAAGCCGTGCACGAAATAAATGTTTCCGTTCGGTGGTTTTGTTGCAACGCGTAAATCTAGGTATCGGATTCCTCCGTTGAGCTGATCCTTGATATTGTCATGTTGCGTAATAGACCAATTAAAAATAATGGGTTTAGAAACGAGTGAGCAGTAACGGCCAAGAGCTCTGATGTAGTTTGGCTCATCGGGCCCCACGTCGTTACGTCGATTTATAGTGTAAGTCATCGTATCATGAGAACCTGTTACAGGTTATCAACTATTATACATGTATATCGAGTTCATAACTTTTTATTATAGTGGTTGTATGCATTTTCGTCATATCAGGCCCGAAAACGTAACTCCTAATTTCATTTTTGAAACGAGGGGAAACGATGACATTGGTATGTTTACGCAATTCTCCACAATGCAATAGATATAATAGAATAGAATATAAAAGAACACGAATTTGTGTCTTATAAAATGCTATAAAAATACTATAAAATCTTGGTTAAAAACGAACACTTATGAAAAAAGGAATCATACTTTCAATTTATTTTGTTTTCTAGAAAATCGGTTTTTGAATAATGCCTTATATACTTAACGTGCATTTATTATGCAGGAAGTTTATGTCATGGTCTTCCCTCATGAGTAATATAAGTAACATAGATAATTATTTAATAATACAGTACAACAGGTAATAGTTTTAGACGTCGTTTTTATAATAAAAAATGGTTTGTATAGCATAACATATTTTAAATAATTCTGTTTTATTTGTAATTAATTGTACTTGTGATAATTTATTAATATGTATTATTAAACTTTATGAAATAAATTTAATAAAACCAGTGAATTGTATGGAAAATATAAAGGTAAATCTCATTTTTTTTAATTTGTAATTGTATTTATGGAAGACAGAATGTATTTCAACGTACCGGGTATTGCCAGTTGTATTATGGGTACGTTTCTTATAACTTCCGGAAGTCGAGTCATCCAGTACTCTAGTTCTTCGTTTGAAATGATCCCTTTTCTACCCACTTTGTATGGAACACCGCTTTCGTATTCCATAATTTTAAACATATAATTTTCGTCACCGTGCAATGGAATGGATCGACACAAAAGTGTTATACTCGCAATAGAGGTTCTCGAAAATTTGCAACGATTTTTTATAGGAATTCATGTATGGTAAAGATCAAATTCTACGTGTATGGTAACGATGTAGGTATACGTTACCTACACCGAATGACTCGTTGGCCGATCATCTCCATCCTTTATATCGCCTGTTTGAATTAACGTTCCCACGGTGATGTCATAGAAATCACCTTGCGGCTTTTTCCGACAGGGAACAACTAAGTAGATGGTACAGATTCAGAGAATCTAACCTCATGGCCGTTTGATCATAGTGCGTCCCTCTTTCCTATATCGAGAAGTTAACTGCGCGAATGAGCCTATTAAAGAGCTGCAATATTACCAACACACGGCGATATTTCGGCGGATGCTTTAAACTTTAAATATTCATTTTGATTCTTATACGAAATCGTAATAAAGCTACTATTTGTTTTGAAAAAGCTTCACGACATTTTAGGTTACATTAAACGATAAAAGTATCGTGAATGGCGAATATTTGTATTACATTCGTTAGGATCAGCTCATCTTAATTCTGCAAAGTTGATGTTATCGAAAATATATTAATGACAGATGACGATTTCAAAAGCTACACATGACGTAATGCTTTAATGTAATTACAATTTTGTTTAATAAACTGTGTCTTCAATTATGTAATAATACACACATGAAACTCATAAAGATATATTGATATTTTCTGTGTATTCAAATATTCCAACAGAAATTTTTGATGAAAATTGATTGCAATCTGCCATTTTTGATAAAATGACGATATGACTCAGTATCCATAAGATTTTATAATTGTGTTCAGTCTTAATGAAAACAACCCAGCTTGACCTTGTGCTATTACGCACTAAAAATTTAGAAGAAACTAAAGTAAACCACAATTATTGCAATGAATAAAAATATGAATAGAACAGTCGTATCCAAATAGATGTTTGAACGACTGTTATTTTGTTTCAATTTAAAAAAATATTTAAGTCTATGTATTTCTGGTCTTCGCAAATCGATTGACATTTGTATATGTATAGCATACATTGTTATAATACTTGTCCTCCTCATACATATGTATGTATGTACATGCAGATTATTAAACAAAAGTGGTGATAACTATTTCAGCGGTATGCTCACTTTGTTTAACCCTCAGAGCACGGTCCCTGGGTCACGCGTTCGCGAGAGCGACACACACGCAATGACGGAGCTGTCGCGTAAATCGCATAGCGACGGACGTTTGTTTACATGCGAATGACCGGGCCAAGACACTGCAGAAGTATTGACTATTAAATATAATTTGTTTTATAATTCACGAGATTTTTATTCTAGTTAGTGTAATAAGAACACGAAAATCCAAATGTAATGTGGAACCAGCTAATCATTACATTATCTACATGGTGACGGTGGCTCGAACTTGAGCTCGAGCAACCGCCACTGCGTAGTAATATCGGTGAGAGTCTCGAGCTCGAGCCATACTGGCACTGTGTTAGGACAGTGTCGGTGAGAGCCTCGAGCTTCGAGCCTTGCCGTCGCTGTGTAGCGTAGAATATCGGTGTAGGGTCGGAAATGACATAGGGACCGGTGACCATGTTTCCGTGCTCGGAGGGTTAAGGTGTATTAGCATAAATTATACTACAGTCGGAATTACCGTACTTAATGAGCAAACATGTAACTAATATCCATGTCATGTGACAATTCCACCTGTAACTTTTTTCCAATACAACACAATTATTACGTAGTAGTTTCTATTAAAAATACACATTCATAATGTATAAAAATATATATGCTATTTTAGAATGTACTATAAACAATGTAAAATCATAGCTATAGATATGTGGCGGCCTTAGGACTGCCACCACGTCCTTGTTTCTTTCCGTTTCGTTTTTAGCGTTTCTCACGGTCTCGTGCGAGTCTGGTTATTGTCATGCATATTTAGTAACCAGGTTCGGGCGAGACCCGGAGTTCTTACTCCTACATCCACTTTCATCGAGGGTCCTTGGGTTTTCCTAAAAGTCCTTCTTTGTTCAGCTTTTCTACGACGATTCTTTCTCTGTGTTTCGACTTTACCTTCCTGCTTAGAGCGTCCTGAAGGTCGAGTGCCCGTGCACACTTGGCGACCAGCTTGTATAGCCCTTGCTGTACGCTGATTTCTCCTTTTTACCATCTCGGCACTTTCGTCAAGTTTCCCGGCATTTTCGGGTTCCTCCCCTACGTCGTCTGTCTTTCTCCTTACTCCATCTATCCTTTTTCTTTTTGTCCTTCTTAAGCTAGCGCGTAACGACGGAGGGGGTCAGTCTGGCTGTACCAAGGTACTGAATAGAACTTCGTCGCGCGCGCAAGAATCTTGTATAGATAGACAAATAAATTGAGTGACAATTAAGCCCGTTTATTACTGCTGTACTCCCGTAACACCACAGATATTATATAAAAGTTTAGGAACCACCCTACATCTAATCCAAACTTTATTACAAATTTTTATCGAATTCTAGGTTGTATTGACTTATTCGCATCAAGCCTCTCTATATTAATATGTCTATGAAAATGTATTAAACTCCATATTAATTTTCTACTTTTGTTATCTTCAAGTATATTCCTTCTTTTGGCGCCAGTAAGAAAGCAGTTGGATTGAATTGATATGGTATCATAGTTTTTTCGCATACATCGACTTTGTGATTGCGAAGTATTTTGATCAATCCAAGCTTCGTTTGATAAACTGCAAATCGCGCACCTGAAAATCAAATGGTTCACAATTGTATGGAACGTATTAGAATCATAGAATGATATTAATAAACAGTTACGTAATATGTTATATTTTTTATAATTTTGCTTAATGAACTCTCTAATTATCAAATTGATTAATTCTCAAAGTTTATAAAAAATACACATGAACTGGTCCAACAATAAAATATTTGTTATTATTTTAAAGAGATGTATAAATGATAAGATTTGGGCTACAAACAAGTACAAGAAGTAAGAATCTTTTTAGTATATTAAAATACAACAAAAATGTTATAAAATTCTAATTAAATTACCTAAAGAAGAAAATGTAATGTAGTAAATACTCAAATACGTGAAATACTATAATTTTTTACTATAATTTTTTTATATTATAATAAAGAATATGGTAAATTTAGAAAAAGACCGTGTTGAGTATAATAATTGACACATCTCTGTAATATTCTATAGCGCATTTAACCGTTAACTACAGACCACTTGCCTTGGAAACGAGTCTGATTTTTCATTTTACTATTGGAAACTACTGAAGATTTTTTAAAACTTTGGCGTTTGAGTTTTTTTCAATCGACAATAACCGGCACACTATTTCCAAAACGTTAACGAAAAATATCATTCAATTGGTTATGAAAAGTGTTACAAAGTAATTGTTGTTGGATTACTCGTAAGGGATAATAATTTTTACTGTTGCATACCAATACAATTTCGTGGTCCATCGCCGAAAGGTAAATAATGCATTGGATGTCGGGCCATAACAGCATCATCGCTAAACCTTTCGGGTATGAAAGCGTCGGGATTTGGATAGATCCGAGAATCATGATGGATTGCATATGTTGGTATCCACAACATTGTTCCTTTCGGTATTGTAACATTTGTACCCTCGAATGCGTAATCGCACATTGATTTTCTTATCAAGAATGGTCCTGGCGGGTATTTCCTTAATGTTTCTATGCATATAAATATATAGAGTATTAATAAAATTGTGGGACACTTCCACAGGGTGGATTTTACATGCCCAATTAAAGAGAAAGTCGAGAATGACTATAATTGTTATTATAGTCAATTACAACAAATAATTGTTGCAAATACTGGTAAAATGCAGTGATTCCTCGATGAATGCGACACAAGCAACGGCGTTATTCCCACCATTGGAGGAGTCCTTCTGTGGAACCAATCAAAACGGAATAAACAGAAGCAAAGCAGAGGCTCAGCTTCGAGAACAAAACAAATTTATAAGGGACTGAAAACCTTTCCGCCTTGCCACGAATGCTCCGAAGTGGACCCGAGTACGTCGCACTCATCGAGACATTACTGTTCGCGTAAAATTCGTTTATCGCCACAGGTTATTCTACTTGACCAGCGAGTTCTTTAATTGTTTCGTGAGTTAATTTCATTCATTTCACTTTATTGCATTAATGAGTTTCACTAGATCATCAATCGAGCCAGTGTATCAACTGGCAATCGGTTGTGCGAGTAGTATTACCCATCGGACCAGACGTATTTCATGCGTATTTTGTCCGTATTTTCAATAATGAATGAGGGTACGTTAATGCTGGAGCTGCGATAAACAATCAGACCGGTGATAAGAGAAAAGCGTAAAAATACAATCTATTGTTATATAATGGAAGTGTTTACATTGGACTACGCTTACTAGGGATGATGAACGATAAAAGCAACGAAAAACAAATGTGTATTATTTTTTCATCGATGTTATCGTCGTTCTCCTTGTTCGTACTTAATCAAATTGACAATGGATATTGAAAAATTAATAAGCGATACAATATAATCAAAGATCTCTATTTTCATTCGCATATATTCAACAAAGTTTTTAGGATATTTCCTCAGGTCATTCTATAAATGGTAAAACGTTCCATGTTCATATCTTTTAGTATTAATGGGATGCACACAATATTTACGTTTACTGTGTAGACTTTCTTCAATGTACACCTTTGCTGAACTTGAAGATAATAATAATTCTTTCTCAGAATCATTCATGGGTAAATGGTTCATCTTTGCGAAACCTTAAACGCCTGAAATTGTACTACAGACTCCTTTCGATTATCGTTCCGAACTTGGGTCCCGCGTCGGGACAATAATCTTATGGGGAGAAATGCTTCAGACCCTCGTAAATTCGTCTTTTTCCCGAAGCCCGAATCAGTCTCAGCAACAAAAGCGGAGGGGCAACAAAGTATGCGCTTGACAGGTGCCATGCACCCCCCTCCCTAATGGTGGGGATAACGTCTGGACAATAATCGTGTAGAACAAGCGAGACGATACTTGAGAGGAGTCGGTATTATCACAGCTCCACTATAAACAAATCAAAGAAAGATATTTTTGAGCAGCTTTTGTCGCCGCTTCGATCTACATTAACATAGCTTCTATCGCAGCTCCAACATAAACGTATCCGAAGATACCAAATGTACTCGGAAACGAAGCCTCGGACGCAATTTCGTCATTTTTGAGTTTCGACTTAGTTTGCCATGTAGAATCCACACTGTGAATGTGTCCCACTTTATTAACAACACTCTGCACTGTTTAGGCAACTTATTATTTGCAGTCCGAATAGCATAGTAAGAGGAAACTAATTATTGTTTTCAAAGTGTACGAAACTTAAACAAATATTTTTATTAACTCTTGACTGGTGAGGTGGAAGTCTTATTATTTACTACATACATCTTATTAGTTAATACGCAACTAGTTGTTTTGCTTCTAAATGTAAGAAAACATTGAAATAAACAAGATTCTCTTTAAGTAACTATTGAATAAAAATAAAATATTCTAAAAATATTCGGGGTTCCTCAGATCTCACCTCACCAGTTAAGTAATATGAAATATGAAAATAATTGTTAACAAAATATTTGTTGCTTGAAATAACGAACTGCCTGCAAGAAGGTACTATAGCTATTAGGGTGACAAAAAAATACTTCAGTTTTACTTGATTGCCTGCTTAAAGATTTTATACTCACCTCGAAATACTAGATCTAAGTATGCCATCTCTTTAATGTCTTCATATTTTAAATCACTCTTGTTTTTTTCATAATGTTCTCGGATTTCTTGTCGAAGTTTATGTTGTATTTCGGGATTCCGAGCTAGTTCGTACAAAGCGTTACTGATCGTCGTCGAAGATGTCTCAAAGCCGGCCACGAAAAAAACAAAAGCTTGAGCGGTCAGTAGAGTGTCTGTGAGTTCTGTAAAACATTATAATTTAAATGTATCAAATGTCTATTACATTTGTTATAACTGCTTTCAAAATCATTCAGTCTGCTTGCTACTGTAATGAAGCACTGTGAAAAATGTGATGTAAAATTATAATGATGATTCTAAATCACAATATTTATTTACGTAAAAAATGGTATGAATGAAATTGGCATGCATGAATTAACATTGACTAATTGGAAAGTATCAATTATATCAACGATGAAATGCAATAGTTTCTCACAAGGAACCATTCCACATGAAATACAAGTAAATTGTGAATGCAAGAATTGTTTTATAATGCAAAATACAAAAATTTCAATATATAAAAATTTATAATTTTGGTACATAGAATACCGCATACAAATTTATAATTTATTAACATTTCAGTTTTTTATCGAGCTTTACGAATTTTGCAGGTATAACTCACGGTTATGTTGATTTATTTCAATAGAACTTATTTAACACTAGGTTTACGGGACGCGTCATTTTGACGCATTTCGAATGCTTTCTAACCTCGAAATTCTCTATGTGGTATACCTATCTCTATAGCTATGCATTAATTTCAGAGATCATAAATTGTGTATTATATAAAATAAGTTGTCTTTTAAAGAAAATCTGCGGGTTCGTTGGTGCGTGCCGTGGAGATACCTACACGATAAGTGCCCGTAAACCTAGTGTTAAATATATGTATAATGGTGTGACATTTTTATTTATAATAGCATGAAATTTGTAGTAATCAAAGTGGCAGTAGTTAAAGTCTGTTCCGCACAGACGTCTTTCAATGAGACATCGGCAATTTCCATAGAAACGATTTTATCGAATACGATTCTTTAACTATTGCTGTTTTCATTTGTATATATTTAACAGTATTATGAAGAAAAGTACTCTATTATTATACGCGCCGAATTTGCCTTAATATTCTCCGTAATATTGTAAAAGGAATCACATGCATACGTTTTAAAAAAAGACTGAATGATAGCTTGATTTTTCTATAAAAAAAATCCGTATTTTCGAAATATATATTACTATCGATTTTTTTTGTTACATTATCGTAAATGAGTAAATAATTGTGCGAACCGTTAGAGTGAATACCCTTTACGCACTACTGTTGACAAGTATTCACTTTTCCATCGAAGCAAGGTTTACTCATATCCATTTTACACTTTGGGAATTTTCAACAAATGGCCATGAATCTTGTTTGCTTTATAACCCTTATTGTGGAGTGAATTTTAAAAGTACTTTTAAAAAGTATGGCACATTGTTTTATGATGTAGATGGGCAAATACTGATGAGCAGGAACGTTTGTAGATTTAACCATCTATAGCCCAAATTTTTTCGTAACTATATAAAAATATATTTAATGTAGAACTAACACATATGAACCTTTAAACACAAATTACCAATGAATTTACAATATTCGAAGATTTTATTATTACTCCGACATCTCAAGCTAGAATTGATAATCGTTACAAAGAATCTAACAACACAACGTGAAAATAATGTGTACGCCACATAGTGCCAAAAAATTAAATTGGACCAACAAAATATGGGTAAATGGATATGTGACTTCAAACTGACACGAGGCTATAGAGGGTTAAAAAGTTAAACTTAAAATTATTCTTTCATAAAAGTATAAATATTAAGATTCTAATATTATTCTGGAATCATGGTTACTAAAGCTTTAAGAATTAATTACACTTACTTATATTCTCCAATTTATCTGGATGTTTCTTGAGCTCGAGTAGCATATTAACGAAGTCCGGCCTAACGACATTATTTTTGATTCTGTAATCCAGTGTGTCTGCGATGACTTTAGTGAAAAACGTTGTAACTTCTGTATGCGGTAGTATATAACCTAACAATTTATACAACCATGGCATCGACTGTCTAATGCGGAATCTCAACAGTTGAGAAAAAGTACCCGCGAATACTGTTCTGCCTATTCGACGAAATTCACTGTCCGTGTCGGACAACGAGTTCGTGTCAATTCCAAACGCACAGCTAGCGATCACATCCGTTCCATACTTCGCTGCTAATTCGCGGCAGTCCACGGGCTCTCCAACCGCTACTACTTTTTCCAAATAATGTTCCAAATGTTCGGAACACTCCTGTATGAGAGGAAACATTTCCTTGAGCTTGCCGGATGTGAACACCGGTGACAGCATCGTTCTCAGCGGTCGCCATCTTGCTGCCTCCAAACTGAACAAGTGCGGAGACAATGGTTCCGTCTGCGGTTCGTTTATAAATTAAGGTTTATTAATATGGAACGAACACTCCAATGTTGTAATTTGCAAATCTTTACTAAACGAATATTCCGTTTGTATGAATTGATGTGGGACATTTTGATAGAAAGCCAATACTATAGGAGACTTGTAACATTTTCATTAATTACGAACTTGTTTTTAATTTGTGGAAAGTTTTTGAATGATTGAAAAATGCTAATTTAGAATAGAAATTAATTTTTGTGATGTTTTTTTAGATGAATAATAATTTAATTCTTGCGTCGTCTGTTTGTTTCTTATTATTTTATATTATTTTTCGTGAAGATGTTAACGTTTAATAGTAAATAGAATATATAGTTAATTAACATAGAACTATAAGCATTATTATTAAAACCATGATCTAACAAATTAATAGTATTGCACATTCCAATTAGTATTTAAAATCCAGTTTTATTTTTCGTAATGTAGTGAAAAAATTTTATGCACATTTCACAAGATAAACATTTACAGATGTTTATATTTTTGTAATTACAGTGGGAGATCAAGTTATAATTATTAGAGCTACAGTATGAAAAATATATTTTTTGTGTTTGTCTAGAAATAATATCCCAATATCAAGGTTTTTACACGGGATAATTTTTAACTAACAATTGTCCACTACAGATGCACAAAAAAATTGAAAAACTCCTCTACCTATGCAGGTGGTTCTAGTAATTTGATTACCCACCATATTGTTCATTTCATACAATTTTTCCGAAGTATGTATATATACGACTGTACCTTTTCATACACAGGCAGTCCTCGATCTGCGAATTTCGAAAAGTCACTTATCAAAACTGCTTTTATGAGATCGGGATCTTGAAGAATAAGGAGAGGCGTTCTTCTTGTAAAAATGCCGACCATTGGCTCATTTTCATACTCTTGGTACAGTGCATGCAAATAATCGCTGATGGACCTCCTCGCGAACATAATATCTTTTATGTTACCGAACAGTGGAATAGGTTTTGGTCCAGGAACATTACGGATTTTCCAAAAATCGAAGTTCGCAACGAAGTAGTAATACAGTGCCAAAAACACTGCAACGACTCCACAAAGTATTTCTAGATAATTTGTCATTTTTCTGCAATGCTCATGATCTTGTCTTTTGCAGAACATGTATTCCGGATGCAATTTGTAACATGCTTTTTATATAATATAAAATAGCATCATACATGTTTGAAGGTAACTGATAAATGTATTTTAAATTCAAATAAATTTTATTTTTAAATGATTTTATATTTATGATAAATAGAGTTTAAATTGGCGATGAACTACCTAAACGTTGAATAGGGGAAATCAAAGAAAATAAGCAATAGAATTCACTATCGGTGACAAAAATTCTAGGTACTGTGGTCGAACAAATGTTGTACATACTTACAGTAATTTTCTGACAGCCCTCTTAAGTGGCCTTGTCAGTAATACATTTTGCATGTTTCGTCGGTGGAAACAATATAGACAGTGCAGTTTACAGGAAGCAGAATACTATGAAAAAATCAAGGAACACGTAGGGTATCTAATATCGCCTACCCAAATTCAAATCCTTCTCAATTAAAAGGTAATTGATATTTTTATATCTAATTAGTTTCAGATAAAAAAAGAAACTATATGTGTGCCATTTATAATAGTAGGTTAGAACTGTGAAAATTTGAAGATTTTCAATCGCAGCTGGAAAATAACAAGACTCAGGATCGTGCAAAAGTATACATTTCTTACCTCAAAAATATTGATCCATTCATGTATTTATGACCTGGAAAATTTATATAAATATAAATATAACTCGTAATATATAATCTGTGTATTTATTATTTTGGACCACATGAATATTTCAAAGGCTTTTGGTGTCAAACTTTTTGAAATGGGATTTAGTTAGAAAAAATGTTTTCATTATAAAAACAAAGAAATACTACTTCAGAATATTTATATTATTACATATTATTTTTGAAACGTTCACGTTTATACACTGGTCAAACAAAGTTCGGCTTTTCAATTTTCATGTTCCTATTTGTAGCAAATACTTAAGGGTCATTGCACGCGAAATCGGACGCTTATTGGAGTAACATTTCAGATTTTCTTGAAAAGTGGATACGTTGTAGTCTTCAGTGATATATAAACGTATCTCGGAGATTTTTTAAAAACGTTAGAACTTGTTGATTTACAGCTAGAAAACTGATCAAAATGAGCTTTATGGGTGCTTACAGCGGAGACATAAGAGTACTTAATAAAAATTATTTCAGTAAAAAAATATTTTTTTACCATTTATTTTGCAATAGTTTTAAAGCAATAGAAATTTATAGTAGAGGGCACAATTGTAAAATTTGAACAAAAAATGAGGATATAGTCCTATTTGTTCTTGTTACGGCCAAATTTGACAAAATATGGACACCTTAAAATTGGCCATATGAAAATTAATTGAGGTTAACGCTACGTCGAAGCACACCGGCTCGGCTGGCCGAGCCCAAGTAGGTACTAACAGCAGCCAGACGGCAATACCTGCCATTCTTATTTAGGGGTGTTGCGACTCAACGCAGGTAGGCGATGTTCGCAACGTTCGTCGTGTCTTGGACCGTCGACACGGTCAGCAAACTGTTCTAAACAGGGGTTCCTGGACAGCTGCACATCATGTGAAAAAAAACTCACAGTCCTCAAGACTATTTCTTATTGTGTTTCGGCGCTGACTTCCAGGAATCCCAAAACCAGTACCTACACCAAACCCTATTTCTTCCACCTCGTACTACCACCTCTTCCACCACCAACACCAAACAAAATTTTGCATTTTCCACCAATCACGAGTCAATCCGTTACAGCAAGAGTCTATGCATTCGTTCATTCGCCAGAACACAGTCAACCGTCAACAAGAACACATCAATCAGTCAGGACAGAACCAGTATACAGATACATATACATCACATTAGTAAGTTTTTATTAAGGTCTAAGTAAGTTTCTATTAACTACTATTACGTGTGTTACAAAGTTGTGTCAAGTCATTTAAACCACATATCACCATACACCATCACACCATCTTTCCAACGAGCTACACGGTATTAATTTACCAACGAGCAGTAGCAAATCCCGAGCTTATTACGAGTACGTCGCAACGTAAGTTGTTACAGGAAAACAGTGCTCTAAGAAGTTGTTATAGTTTGGACATTTTCAACTCGCATCGTTGTTTATGTTACACATTCGAATTCCATGGGCTAGTCTCGATAGGTTATTCGAGTTCTTGAAATTCTCGGGAAGTTCGATACTCTCGAGTCGCGAGATACGTTCCGATCCGTCCAAAGCATCGGATTCCCAACATTTTCACACGAAAATCAGGATCGTGAAAAAGTGCACATAATATTGATTAATTAATGTACTTATGAGCTTTAAAAGTTATATTTTTGTACACCTTTCCGAAATAAGTATACAGAGTATTAATAAATATGTGAGACACTTTTACAGGGTGAATTCTACATGTAAAACTAAGACGAAAATCAAGAATGACGAAATTGCGTTCGAAGTTTCGTTTCTGGGATATTAATTATTGAAAATACAGGCGAAATATGCGTAAAATAAGTCTGACCTGGCAGGTTATTCTATTTGAGTGGCGTGCTCTTCACTTGTTTCACGTGTGGTGTACAGTAATATCTCGATGAGTGCGACGAACTCTAGTCCGCTTCGAAACATTCGTGGCATGGTGGAAAAGTTTTCAGCCTCTCATAAATTTATTTCTTGCACGAAGCCGAGCCTCTGCTTAACTTCTGTTTACTCTGTTTTGATTGATTCCAGAGGGGGACCTCCGAGTGGTGGAAATAACGCCGTCGTTCCTGTTGCATTCATCGAGGAATCACTGTAATTCATTTGATTGTATTTCATTCTAAGTTTAGCTTGTCCATCGATCGATACCGTGTATTACCTGGGAATCGACTGTTATAAGTAGTATAATCCATTCCGTCAGACGTATTTCACGCGTATTCTGCCCGTATTTTCAACAATTAATAACTAGGAAACGAAACCTCGAACGCAATTTCATCATTCTTGTATTTTGTCTTAGCTTGGCGAGTAGAATCCACATTGTGAAAGTGTCCCACATTTTGATTAATTCTCACTAACAAGGAGTGTATTTTAGGTGTCCGCCTCCGATTGCTTTGGTTTTCGGATATGTTTTAGAGGACCGAAAAATAAGAGATACGTATTTTTTTATAGCGGCCCGTTTTCATATTTAGGGGGTGAAACCACCCCTCAAAGTTTCGACCCGGAAGTACTATCTCGAAAACCAGAGGAGATACATGAAAACTTTCAATTGGTGGCTTTCATGGTTTTTTATGTACAATAAACTGGTGTTAACAAATTGTCAAAAATACAATTTGTTTATAACAAAAAAATTTGTTATAACTTTATTTTACAACTTATTGAAATTTGCGTAATGACATAAAATGACGAGCACTTAATTCCAAATCCATTGGTATATTTATTTTTGAAATTGCCTCCTTAGTCTCGCAGTTTTTTATTATTTATATCCTGTGCGCACGCCCGCTCTTTAAGCTTCCGATTGCCTCGGTTTTCGGAGAATACATATATTATCGAAGACTTTACGGTTCATATTTGTCACAAAAGTGATATTCATGAAAAAAATGTTTTAAACAAAATGCTTTTTTACACCAAGAACATCTAACTATCGGTGTTTCATCACAGAGTGCAGATTTCATTTCTATATTCTCTTCGAAAGCAAATTCTACAGGATTCACAAAATCTCCTAATTTGGTTTTTGCGTATCCACTTTTATACCAAGAATACTGGAATAGGACTAAGGAGGCAATTTCAAAAATAAATATACCAATGGATTTGGAATTAAGTGCTCGTCATTTTATGTCATTACGCAAATTTCAATAAGTTGTAAAATAAAGTTATAACAAATTTTTTTGTTATAAACAAATTGTATTTTTGACAATTTGTTAACACCAGTTTATTGTACATAAAAAACCATGAAAGCCACCAATTGAAAGTTTTCATGTATCTCCTCTGGTTTTCGAGATAGTACTTCCGGGTCGAAACTTTGAAGGGTGGTTTCACCCCCTAAATATGAAAACGGGCCGCTATAAAAAAATACGTATCTCTTATTTTTCGGTCCTCTAAAACATATCCGAAAACCAAAGCAATCGGAGGCGGACACCTAAAATACACTTGTTAAGACGTTTCAACAGAGTATGATGTGGTTTGGTTGAATACCAATTGGAATCTCAGTTTTTACTGAAGTGTGAAAAATATCGTGTCGAAGTAAGTGAATTTCTGCATGTAGAAGAGATGGAAATTTTGGGTGGAAAATTAGGTGTAGCTTATGTATGATTGGTTATGCATTCTGTTGTTAGGAATTTTTTAGAGAGTAAGGAAGTGAGTTGAGGGTGGTGGTAGATGGGAAAGTGGAAACAGGAAGGGTGATGGAGAAGGATGACCTGAGGGTTTATGTGTACCGAGGTACCGGGTGTTTTGTGGTGAAAGTTTGTTTGGTGGAATTTTTCATGCAGATGTGCAATTGTCGTTTACGGTATAAGTTGGGGGTTCTGTCTTAGAGTACCTACAGATAATTAAAAGCTCTGAGACATTGAAGGATTTAAATTGTTGCATGGTTGGTTGATGGAACCGCACAGCAAATATATCCTAAATATCATTGATAAGGTAATATCAACAGACAAAATTAATACCTATTTAAACAGCGCCCAGTATGTTAAAAAATACATTGACTGTTATACATACGCATTATACACGAGGGACGTAGCAAATCTTCTATGTACAGTGGCGAACAAAAGTATTGGCACAGGAGGTATTTCTATACATAATGTTAAATAAATATGAAAAGAACGCAATTTCTTGTTTAATCCTTTTTTCAAATATAAGTCTGGAGTCCGAAGTTCAAATATATTACAAGTCATAAAAGTTAAATAGACCTATAACAAAGAAAAAAAATAAGAACCATATCATGGCTCGTTTGCAGCGGAACAAAAGTATTGGCACACATAAAAATTTCATGTTTCTAGGGAAATTTGAAATAAATATTTCGAATGTTGTACGACTGTCATGCCCGCGAATGTTCCACGATTCAGTTTGATGTTCATTTATCATAAATTGTTGCCAGTATTGTTGTAAAAACAAAAACGCACAAAAATGGGTCGCAAATCGCAGGAGACAACAATTTCTGAAAGGAAAATAATATTGAATTTATCAAAAGAAGGAAAGTCTTACTCAGCTATTGCAAAAATAGTAAATAGAAGTCGTTTTACGATAAGAAGTGTCGTTAAACGATTTTCTAACACGGAAAATTTAAGAAATTCTGATAGAAGTGGCCGGCCACAAAAATTGACCGTTAGAGAGAAGAGAAAAATTATTAACACAATAAAGAAAAATCCTACTACTACCTCTTCAGAAGTAGCAGCACAATTAGAAAATGAAAATAATGTAAAAGTTCATCCGATAACTATCCGTAGAACTCTTAGAGCTGCCGGATATAATTCAAGAATCGCAAGAAAGAAACCGCTCATTAGTAAGACGAACAGAATAAAAAGATTAGAATTTTCAAAAATGTATGTAAATAAAGATTTAAACTTTTGGGACAAAATTTTATTTTTGGATGAAAGCAAATTTAATATTTATCAATCGGATGGGCAAGTTAAAGTATGGCGGCAATGTAACGCAGAATTAAATGAAAGGAACACCAGTAAAACGGTCAAACATGGGGGTGGCGGTGTGCTAGTATGTGGATGCATGAGCTCT